GTGCAAGCACACAAAGGGCCCGATGGTGCATTGTTAGCCCAGCCCCCGCTGCCCGCCGCGCCCTCCTGGGGCAGGCACTAGGCCAAGGAGGAGCTGGGGGCGGTGGGTGCCAGGGGGCACCGAGGAGAGCACAGCACCTGTCTCCCAGAAACCAGGGCTGTATCACCTGGACTGAGTAGTGGTGAGAGGGCCCATTAGAGCGGGCCTATCTCCTTGACACCTGAGCCTAGTGGGCACTGCTTTCTGTCTTCCCAAGAGCCCCTTTCTGGTGGTATTAACCCCTTCCTGACCCCAGGCTGGGTGTGATGCCCCAAGGGAGGGGTACAGTGTCTGGGGGTGTCAGCAGGCAGCAGCGTGCTGTAAGCAACCGTGTAACGGAGGCACGCTGGGGGAGCTGGGGTCCCGGGGGCCAGGGACAGGAGCACTGGCAGAGATTTCTCCTTGTTTCATCAGCTGCTCCAGGGGGAGCCCCCTGTCCTTCTCCCCAGTTACCACTAAGGAGGAACACTACCATCCAGACCTAGTCACAAATATGTCCTTCTTCAGCCCAGCACAATACCTATGCCCAGTATCTCCTTCCAATCTAATGTCCACTTCATGCCAGCTCCATAAACAGTGCCAGGAGGGTATAGGGGTGACCAAACCAGTTGGTGTGGGGGGGGGTTAGCAAAACGCAACCCCATAATCCTCCAGGCCTTGGCGCCCCCCTCCCAACACACACTCCCTTAGGGAACAGAGAGTTCCTATCTTGGTTTAACTCCTCACTTCCCAATCTGGCTCCCCTAACCCTTGATAAACGGTCCCCTCTTCAAGGAATAAGTTGGGGAAAGGAGAAATAGCTGCGCTGACTCATTCCTGTTCTCAGCTGCAGCAAGGGGTCTCTAAGGCATTCAGGCGGGGGTCAATTCAAGAACGCCCTCCACCTGGCCCGGAAGCCAGGACAGCTTGCCGGTCTCCCCCTCTCCCCAGCACCCACTTCCGGTGTCCCAAACTAGGTCAGCAGTGCTCGTTTCCTGTGGGTCAGCTAGCACCGGCGCCTCTGCCCCTCCCCTACTCCGGACCCAGGCTGCCCGCCTTACCCCCCGCCCCCCAGGGCGCCCCGAGGTCTCACCACGTCTCAGCCGCCCTTTGATACATGGGGGTTGTGCGGGGCGGGGGGCAGGGGACCCGCCCTCTCTCCAAACACTAGCAAGGGCTGGGGCGCCTGGGCCGGCACGTGTCCGGGCACAACCCGCTGCCCACGCTACCCCCCCATTCCCGCCCCCCCTTGCTCTGGCCAGGACACGTCGCTCTCTTACTTGGGTGGGGTGGGAGGAGGGGAGAGAAAGCTGGGTCGGAAAGCAGCGCCCCCCCGCCCCTTCCAGTGGCTAGCGGCGCGCGCCAGGTTTCTACCGCACGGCGACCCCCACTCCGGTTAAGGCAGGTGCGCCGGCGCCGGCGGCAGGACCGCGGGTAGATAGAGTTCTTATCGCCCACCCTTGCACTGGAGTTGTGAGAGCAAAAGCTGACTTTGAAAAGGTGGCGGTGGGGCTGCAGCTTGTGAGAAGGGAACGTGATTGCGGAGCGGGAGGGCCAGAGGGGTCGTTCTGCTGAGCCGCGCTACTGCTGGAAAGACGACGCGGCTCTGGAAGCGCAAGAAACCGAATAGTCCAGCCGGTAACTTTCCCCCAAGCCGCGGTTCCTCTCGCCGCCCTCCACCCCCCAGGCCCTGGCCGGGGTCCAGTCCACCGCGCCAGGGGGCCGCGGAGCAGGGTGTGCGTGGGGGGACACGCGTTGTCCTAGTTAGAGTCTGTCAGCGTTTCTATTCCCTCCATTTGGTCAGACCTGGGGTCTCCCCCGCTAAAGTCACGAAGACAACTGGGGCGAAGTTCAGCGCAGTTCACCCCCTCTTCATCCCATAGCTCACAGTCTGTCTAATAATGGAAGTGCAAATAAAGTTTCTGGAGACCCTCCGCCCAGAGCTGGGGGGAGGCCATAGTTGTCTACCTTTCCTCCAAGTTAAAACCAATTCCAAAGACCCAGGAAAGCTACAGGGAATGCGACTGGCTAAAATCTGTGGTGTGCGTGTGTACAGGGGTCTCACATGACGCACGAAGGACACTGCAGTAGGCTCTAGTCTAGTGGACCCCGAGCCAAGGGACAAAAAGTGGGGTTCACTTACCCCTCAGCCGTCGGGTCCGCTCGCTGGAGCTGCTGCCGGGTTTGGGAAGAAGCGCGTCCCCCGCCAGGCCCGGGGACTTGGGGCCCTGCTCCGGTCCTGGTCAGAAGGCCGCGGTCAGTAGCTCGCCGCTCGTTGCTGGGGGGCTCCTCCTCCGCCACCCTTTGCCTCCTCCTGCTGCCTGCCCCCCCTTGGCCACGGAGAGCCGTACATTCACCTGGCTCCCACCCGCCCCCCCAGGGCCCGCCTCACCTGTCCTGCTGTCTCACCTGTCCTCCTGCTTGCTTTTCCCCCCTCCCTCCCCCCCCCCCCCCCGCCCCTGCCACCCCCGCCCCCCCCCCCCCACCCTTAGCAACACCCTCTGTCACTTCCTGGTTTTTCATCCGCCCCCCCCCAGGCACCCCCTCCCTCCGCCCAATAAGGATATAAACTTCCACCTCTTCCAACAGCTAGTTCTAGCAGGGAGCATATGGGTCCCTCCCTTTTTTTCGCCCCCTTCTCCCGAGCTTTTGCTTCGCTCCCGGAGCCTTTCCACCCTTTTTCTTTTCCTTCTTTCCTTGTATTTCCCTTCACCTGCCGCGATCCCTGTCCCTCTCGGCTTTCTACCACTATCTACTACAGTCCACCTTAACTGGAGCTCCGCCTCCGACCTCCGTCCAGCCCTCTGCTGCTGCTCAGCTCCACCCCCTGCACGCCACCGCCCTGCCCAACCATTGGCTTGAACACCCGCCTATCCCATGTGGGACGTGCCTAGGGTTCATCCAGGGAGGGGGTGGAGCCTGGGGCTGGCCTGAAACCAGAAAGGGAGGGAAGCCGAAGACCGAGTCCGCAGTGGCCAGAGAATGGAGTAGCCCCCCAAGGGACCTCCTCTCCTTCGAGAGGGCCTTCTGTGGGGTCATCACCTGGGGAGGGAAGGGTATAAGAAGTTACGGGTAGGTGCGAGAGGATGAAGACCTAGAATTTAGAAAGAGTTCCTATTAGGGGCTTTAATCAGGTCAGAGTCCCAGGAGGGAACGAAGGCCACTGGACATTCAATTGCAGTCCCTTTGCCCATCCCCCCTTCAGAGGGAGCGGGGGAGTTGAGGTTGCGGACAGTCTATGTCCCTCCCCACGCGTGACGGCGCCCCGCGGGGAGGGAACAGTGCCCGGGGCAAGGAGCCTCTGCGCTCTAACCAGTGCCCGTTGCTGCCTTGGCATTTTCAGAGAGGAGGAACGGAGTCTGGGAAGGGGGAGGTGCGCTCCCTCCCAGTCTCAGGCTCTTTGCCTTCTCTCCCCCCCACCCCCCCACCCCGTTCTTTAGCGGAGAAACCGAGAGCCCACAGCGGAGGGGTCTTGACGCAGATTCACTCATACAGATACCCAGGTGACGATGGAGACCTGGATGTCTTAGGAGGTCTGCTTGTGTGGATTTGGGGAGAACTGAGGAACGCTTCCAGCTGGGCTGGCGGAGCTACGTACCCCCAAAGGGCCCCTCCCACTGGCTTCAAGCGGAATCAAATCCTGCTTTCTAGGGCCGTGTTCGGCTTCGCACAGCCGGCCAGGCCGAACCGGGTCGGACTTGTTCTCCTTCCCAGCCCCCTCTGCAGGGGGCCTCCCTCTCTCTCCAGCAGGTGGCTCCGCAGGACACCAGCTCAACCTGTTGGACCACAATGGGCGGCGCCAGGGGGCCCCTGGCCCTCACCCGGGCTGACCCGGGTTCCCCGAGCAGGGGGAGGGGAGGAGTCGATCCTTCCCTCCCTCTTTCTCCGTCCCCCCCTGACGTGACTCAGCCTCGAGGCCGCTGCTGTGCTCCTGAGCCAGAGGCGGAAAGTGTGAGGCGCCCCTGAGGGCCCAAGCCAAACCAAACAGCCCCCCACCCCAGACATTATCTCACTGGAGAATTAGGGGGCAATAGAGACCAGTGGACAGCCGTAGGCATGAGGAATTTTGGCTCAAGCAATCCGTTCCGGGTTTTCCTATCGTTCTCCCCCAACCTCGCCCCCGCCTTGGGTCAAGTCTGATCTTTGCTCCAGGTTTTCTTAGCGGCCCCGCCGGACTGTTTCTAGTCGGAAGGCTTCTGAGCAAGAGATGTCTCTCCCGGGGTTTTTCCCTTCTTTCTGCTGTCAGGGTCTCGCTAACCAGGGAATAAGCCATGCCAGGGGCAAGGCGGCATTGTTAAATACCTAAGTAAAATGGAGGAGAACCTGCTTTCACGATAAGGGTACAGATCTAGGAAAAGGATTTATGGAAGAGGGTAGGAAAGTGGTCCGGAAGGGCAAGAGTCTTGTCACTACCTCTTGGGGAACCAGACTCTGCCGTCGTCCTTCCCTGCTGCTGGTTGCGTCTGGCTGGACACAACCCGGATATTCTGCGGCTGGGTTGTCACTCTCCAGCAGTCCTGGAAATCTACTGTTAGCTCTTCAGTGGCTTGTTTCCATGTTTTTCTTTCTCTTGTACACAAATAATTCCCTTTCATGTGAGGGGACATCGACTTTAATTCCTGCCTACCTCACCCTTCTCCGCACATACCTGGGTCCTAACTGCTAAACCAGAGACAGTGGCCAAGAAGCGCTGGTGGGACCCCCTTATAGGGAGCCTGGAGTCCCCAATGCCACCTCAATACCCTACACACTTGAGCTGGTACTGGGATGGGAACTGGAAGGCAAGTGTGGAGCCTGCAGGGGCCTCCTGGTGAGCGTACCCCATCCTCACATTTAGATTTAAATCTTAAGGCAACTTTCTCCATTCTAGACCGTAATGTTTGAGGAAAGTAGGTAAGTAGATACCCCGAGAGTGAGGTGTTTTCCCTGAGAAGGATAAAAGCCCTAGCAAGAAGGACTTTATACCTAAGCCTGAGGACAGCGACTCTGAGTGGCGGCCTGCTTTCGAGACTGGCTTGTCCCAAGTTCACTGAAGTGACTGCTGAGCAGTTAGGCTTGTGGAGCCCTGGAGGAAGAGTGCATCTGGCGCCTGAGGCGAGACTCTCCTTGGCAGGGACCTAAAGTGAGTCTGGGGGCATATTTTTGGTGAGGGGCGCTGAGCTGAAAGCAGCGCCTCGGCCCGCGCCAGGCGCCCACCTATTCTCTGCTCCCCCGCCCCTTTCCCGCGGCTGCCCCCGCTTCCCTCGAAAAACCCGCCGCCCAGGAAACCGCTGGGGGCACTCAGACCGCAGCCCCCTCCTTCCCGCGGCCCCCCAGAACCCCGACCGCGACCGCCCAACCCACCTGAAGGGGCGGTGGCTGCCAGGGGCACTCCTTCCCACCGACTCCCCCCACACCTGCGGGTAGCACTATTTATAACTGCGCGCGCCTATTCTGGGCCTCTCGGCTGGAGCACGCAGCAGCGCAGTGCTAATCGCCGCTGGGATCTCTGCACCCCCTCCCCCCCAGGGCCGGGGTAGGTAAATTTAGCTTCAGGAAGCTCCGGGGAACATTTTCCAAAACTCCAAGACCCAGACAGGCAAAACAGAACCCCTCTGCGTGCAGCCTACTTCCTACTCGCCACTAGGTGGCGCAAGGCTCCTAAACCCCAGCCAGCTAGGGGTTGAGGACAGCGGTTCAGAAGGCCTAAGCCTGATAGCTAAGGAGCTGCGGATGGCTGCTGATTTGAATGGGTAAATTTTAGGAGGCTGGGAAAAGACTCTGGTGTTTGAAAGCCACCGCGAAAAGGGGCCGGGGCCAGAGGCTTCTACGTACGGATGGGCAAATAACTCCTATGTAAATGAAATGCAAATGAGAGCGTCGTTCTTCGTGCCTGGGGTGTCTGTGCTCTGGTGCTTCCAGTGATCACCAGCCTCGACTTGCTCTGCTGTGAAAATGTGAGACTGCCCCCTCGGCCCACAAACTCATTGTTTAATGATTTCTTTCTTACCTCTTTGTGCCCCGCCCCTACCTCTGTCTCACACTCCACCCAAGGTTCTACTTGGGATGTAATCTACAGAAATTTTGGATAGAAGGCTTTTCTCTTGCTGTGATACTTGAAGGTCACTTCTAGCTCCTTGGTCTGGTCTGCCTACCCCTTGTGGCTGCTAGGGGACCCCAAGGAACCCAAGGGTAGGCAATAACTCCCCCTCTGTCTTGGTATCTTGCTTCTCTAGCCACCCTATCCCTGGCATGAGCTCTTAGAACAACAGATTGCGTGTTCAAGACCCGAGTAGCTCTTTTGGGAGAGACCATTGGGAGAAGCTGCTGCCTTTCCTTTTTCCTTCCAGAAGAATGGTTAAGTTGTTGGTCAGGGAAACTATTCTAGTCTGGGTGGATTAAACAAAAGGTATTTTGATAGGACCTTAAGTTGATCCAAGGAGCAAAGGACAAAAGGACACAGTGACCTTGGAGCTTCGATGGGAAACAGGTACAGTTTAGGAGGAATGCCTTTGCCTCCTAGGACAATTAAACCATTTCTTTTCATTTCTCTTCGTTTTTTTCTGTGTAGCCCTGGCTGTTCTGGACTCACTTTGTAGATCAGGCTGGCCACAAACTCACAGAGATCCACCTGCCTCTGCCCCCAAGTGCTGGGATTAAAGGCGTGTGCCACCACCACCCGGCTCAATTAAGCCATTTCTATCAGAAGAGGAAAGCAGATTAATGAGGAACCCTGGTTTTGATTCTCTTTTCTTTTTTCAACAGGAGTCTTAGTATATTGCCTATGCTGTTTACCAACTCCTAGGATAAACCTCCCAAGTCAGCTTCCAGAATAGAAGGGAAAATAGATGTCTGTGTGCTACCAGCCTGGCAAGCCCTAAAAGTTGAGATCTAAAACTGTGGGTTCACTGAATGTCTGTTCTACTGAAGTGTGTTGTCCTGACCTTGGGATGAATCATTTCACTTCTTTGGACCTCTTTATTCAAATTAATGTGATATAATTACCTTTATTGTTATCTTGCCTACTTTGTTCTGTTGTGTATGTGAGCATGATTTGTTTGTTGTTTGGTTCTGAGATAGGGTTTCACCATCATGCTCAAGACTACCTACTTCGGACATTTACTTTTGCTCCTGAGCACACAGACACACAAGTGTGGAGGTCATAGGACAGCTTGTAGGAGTTCGTTCTTGCCTTTCAGCATGTGCATCTTTTGGATTCAAATTATCAGGCTTGACAGCAAACACCTTTATCCACTGAGCCATCTTGCCAGCCCTGAAGTGTACTTAAAACAAAATACTTAAACCAGGAACTGGAGAGGCAGAGGCAGAGTCAGGCAGATCGCTGAGTCATCTACATAATGAGTTGGACAAAGCTACATATTGACACTTTGTTTTTAAGAACACTTGTTTTGTTTTGTTTGACACAGGGTCACTCTTTAACCCAGGCTGGTTTTGAATTCACTGTGTAGCCCAAACTAGCCCCAAATTGGAGATAACTCTCTTGTTGTTACCTCCCAGGTACTGGATTATAAACATGAGTTACCACACCCAGCTTGAAGTAGATTTTTGTGAGAAGAGTCAAAGTATTGTATATTCTGTAGTGCTTCCAGGCTGTGTGAAATGTCTTTCCACTGTGAAAGCTTTTTCCAGCTGCTGCTCTCCTTGAGCCTCTATCAGTCTTTATTCCTCTTTCCTTCCACCAGCTCCCCACTACTTACCCCACCGTAGAAGACAGCCCGGATTCTGCTTCCTCTATCAACCACTTCCCCTAGCCTAACAACTTCTCCTGTGGAGAAGCCTTGTGCTCAGACCTCACACTCTGGGATCCACCTCTTAGGCACGCCTCAGTCTAATGGGAGTAGGACTTAAAGGAAAAGACGGCAGCAGGTCAGGGCTGAATTAGGGTCTGATAACAACTGGCCAGGCAGAGTGCAGACTCTGAGGAAAAAGACAAGAGCCCCACATTCAGCGGGGAAAGTCAGATCTCTGTCTGCACACCAACCCCTCCCTACCTGTATCAGACCTTTCTCCTTTCTGCTGTGCCCTGGGGCATGGCTGAGGGCTCAGAAGGAACCAGGCAGCAGTTCTAATCTGCATGTTGTGTTTAGAGGAGCACTGAGAAGATATGGTGGCTCATTCTTATAATCCTAGCACTGGGGAGTCTGAGGCAGAAGGATTGCCACAAGTTCAAAGGCAGTTAGAATTACAGAGTGAGACCCTGACTCAAAAATCAAGCCAAGGAGCTGAGTGGAATGGTACACCCCTTTAATCCCAGCACTCTGGGAGGCAGAGGCAGATGGATCTCTTTGAGTGTGAGGCTAGCCTGCTTTACAAAGCAAGTTCCAGGACAGCCAGGGCTATCCAGAGAAATCCTGTCTCAGAATAAGTAAGTAAGTAAATAAATAAATGAAAATAAAAATAAATCAAACCAAAGAAAGAGAGAAAAGTACATAAGAAACAACCTTGACGTCTAGGAACACAGCTCTAGGAGTGTGGCAACAGGCAGTTCTGTTACTGCTGCACTCACTGCTGACCCTACAGCACACTAGGAAAAAAAATCCTGTTTCCTTTTTGAAAAAGAGAAAGGAAAAAGGCATGCACCTGTATTCCCTGCACTCTGGAGTCTCAAAAAGAAAAAAATAAAGTGCTAAATGTAATGTTAAGATGTCCTATACAAAGCTCATAGAAAATAGAGGGTGCAGAGCACATGTCAGCCAGCCACCAGCCAGTCATGGTGGGTCATGCCAGAAATTCCGGTTTTCCTGAGGCGGAGGCAGGAGGATAGCTGTTACATTCAAGGTTAGCTTGGGCTACATGGTAAGACCCTGTCTCAAAAGAACCAAACCACACAGAGAATCCAGCCCACTTCTGAGGTCTGGCCTGAGCCACTAATAGGTATGGCCTACATTCATGACTTCCTAATGGGTGTTATATTTTGCCCCTGCTCCCTAAAGTCTATTCTCAAATCAGCTCATGTTCAACACCTTGCTCTCCTTCCTCATTTTATCCAGTATAAAAGTTCAAGTTATAGGGTTTAGAGAGATGGCTGAGGCCAAGAACGCATATAGCTCTTGAAGATGTGAAGCCCAGTGCGGTGGCGCATGCCTGTTAATCTCAGCACTCAGGGAGGCAGAGGCAGGCAATTTCTGAGTTCAAGGCCAGCCTGGTCTACAAAGGACAGCCAAGGCTACACAGAGAGACCCTGTCTCGATCTCAATTTGTCTCAAACTCGATCTGAGTTTGATTCGGGCAGTTTTGCCTGCAAGGTCTGATTCCAAGAGGATCCAATGCTTCCAGCCTCTGTGCCATATACCCACACATAATTGAAAATAAAAACAAACAAAGGCCGAAGTTCCAACTTATCATCCCCGACTTGGCTCCACTTGGCTCATATCCACCTCCAGCTTTTTCTTGTTTCCCATTACTTATCTCTTCACTGTACATTTGATAAGGTTTCCAGCCTACTGCAATGCTTAGCTGAAGCACCCATTTGTTGAATGAAGATGTAGTCTTTGTGTACATGATTTCACGGTTACCTCCAGGGACCTGGGGCTTGGAGAACAGATGTAGGAAACTGCTACTATTAGAATTTTGTTGTTGTTATTGTTGTTTTTTGTTTGTTGGGTCAGGGTCTCACTTTAGCTCAGGCTGTCCTTGAACTTGAGGCAATCCTCTATCTTGCCTCAGCCTTCCAAATGCTTGGATTATAGGAATAAGCCTCTACCCTAGCATTTTTAGAATTCTTTACTTTAGGCATGTATTATCATATGACTCTCCCAGACACACACACACCTGGCTTCAGTTGCAGAGCCTTGCATAGCATTCCACTGCTGAACTATATCCCAAATCCTATTTTTTTGTTTTCTTTTTTGAGACATTTCCTGTGTAGCCATGGATAGCTTTGAAGTACACAGCCCAGGCTGGTGTTGTACTGGTGGCACTCCTCTCTCAGTTTCCTGAGTGCCCAGGCACACAGTATTTCTTTAAAAAGTTTGTTTGTTTCTTTTTAGGTAGGGTCTCACTGTGTAGCCCTGGTTGGCCTCAAAATCTTTCTGCCTCTGCCTCCCAAGTGCTGGAATTAAAGGTGTGGGCTACCACAACTAGTACATAGAGCGTCTGTATAACAAGAATCAGGCTGTGGCACAGGGAGTTTAGTAGGTGCAAAGCCCTAGGTTAACTCCAACACCAAAACTCAACCAACAAACCAGACATCCAACAGTAAATAAAACCAGAGGGGCTGGAGAGAGAGCACTGTCTGCTCTTCCAGAGGTTCTGAGTTCAATTCCCAGCAATCACATGGTGGCTCACAACCATCTGTAATGAGATCTGGTGCCCTCTTCTGGCGTGGAGGTGTACATGCAGCCAGAACACTATATGTAATAAATAAATACATCTTAAACAACAACAAACAAACAGGCCCAGAGAAAATGGAGTTAACTAAGTAGAAGGCCAAAGCAGAGCTGGCTCCAGGGAGGGAGGCAGAGGAGCAGGGAGAAAGAGGTGGGCAATGGCTAGGCCAGAGTGCTCACCTGAGAGAAAGAGGGGCTTGGGGGGAGGCTGTAGCAGGCAAGAACAAGTTGACATACATGTGCAGGGACCTCTAGTGGCTCAAGGAAGGCATGTGTTGGTGGCTGCCAAGAGGAAGTGAGGAAACCAACCACTCACTACAGAGTCCTGACACAGGCGTGCTGTGATAGGATTGTTTTCTGATGGCTGTGTCTGAGCTGGGACTCCTTCCATATCTGGGGTCTAGCTGATTATGCTCCCATGTTCCTTAGGGACAGGGAGCTGCCTAGGTCACATCTCTTTTGAAAAAGGCTGAGTAGATGGGCATGGTAGTGCATGCCTGTAATCCCAACACTCCTGGAGGCAGAGGGAGACAGAGCTCTGTGCGTTCAAGGCCAGTCAGGTCTACAGAGTGAGTTCCAAGACAGCCAAAACTACAAAGAAACCCTTTCTCAAATAAACCAAAACCAACCAACCAAAAAAGGCCAAGTCTTTGGGTCCCCATCCTCACATCCCAGAATCGGGCTCTACTCATTTTGTCCTCTACACAAAGGTTAGGAGAGACCTGGCCTTTCTGTTTTGCTCCCAGCACCAGAGTCAGCAAACCTGGTTTTCAGCCTTACTTCTTCCAATCACCCTTCCTCCTGCTCTCTGGCTCTAAGCTCTTGGCATATGTACATGTCGTCATTTCCCTTTAGACAGTCAGAAATTTTGGCCTCAAGGCCTAAGCATATTTATTTTGTGTGTAGTTGAGTGGTTACCGGGTATCTTAGGGGCAGTCCATTCCTGGGTCTCCAAGTACATGGGAAGATTAATCATCTGGGTTGGGTGGGCTTGTTGTGCCAATTTTGGAGGAGTACCAGATCCTGCTGCAGTCTCATTGGAGTCTTAGCCAGCAAGCCAAGCTCATGCCTCCCAGAAGTATACCAGAGACAGGTGGCAGGGATAGATGGCCCCAGGATGAGGCAGGTCAGGCAGATGGACAGCTCAGAGCAGGGTTCATGTTTCGGTCTTCGCTTGTTTGGGGCCCATGCTTGGTGAAGACCGGCAGACTCCAGTAGTCTGAAGACTATAGGAAAAATGGGAGAGCTAGGCTGCAGGGTTCCACCACAGCAGCTGCAGCCACACCTCCTGACTGTCTACCCTCCCGTTCTCCCCACCTGGGTGATGCAGATCTTGGTGTCAGGGGTGACAGGAGGTGTTCCCTGATTAGTCCAGCAGTTCCTTGATACACCAGCAACAGAGAAGGATGTAGGCAACTTCCTTCAGGGTCCGATGTATGCCCTCCCACCCTGTGCCCATCTTAATGACAGGCACCTGGAGACCACTGCCTCGAAGGGCATCTCTTAGAGAGAAGGGTAGGGCCTGGGTTAGGTGCTGCATAGGTGGCTTCATGTAGACAGCAGCTCAGTGGAAGGGTGTGGATGCTGCCTTTGGGGCCTTTTATCCACTGTCCCCACCCTGTCAGGCCTCATGACTAAAGACAAAGGTTCTAGGGTCCAGCAAAAGAAGGTTCTGGGCCTTGGAACAGGCTGAGTCAGCTCTATAATCAGGGATGGTGGTGGTTAGAAGGGCGGGCTTGGCCACTCCATCTTTCATTCTCCACAGCCAGGAGACCTCAACTTCCCTTCCAAGCAGGCATGCCTGCTTCCTTCCCCGCTTTGGTGGGCTCCTGTGAGGCTGACATTGAGAATCAACCCTAGCAGCTCCTTTCTAGTATGTTTTACCTAATTCCTGGGCCCGTGAGTGAGCACTGCCAGTTCAGAGCTGGCAGCCTTGATCCACTTCTGCCTCCCCTGACCTCAGAGTAGAAAGGCCCAGCCAGAGCAACAGGCACCAACAATGGTGTGTGAGGTACGGTTTACTGACATGACAGGTTATACCCCCAACTAGCCCCCTTCCCCCTGTCTTGTCCCAGCTTTTGTAAGATCACGTTCGGGAATTCCTTTCCTCATCTTCATTTTCCAGTAGGTATGCTGGACGGTAGATGGGGTACCCTCCTGGGCTCAGGCACTTCAGGGCTGGATTCTGCACTGTGTTCTCCCGACTTCCCAGTGATGTATACCTGAGTGTCAGAAGAGGATCACATGAGTGACAGCTGGGCTTCCGTATCCTAGCATTCTCTCACCCTGTTCCCCCAAACAACCTTACCCTCGGTCATACAGGATGCAGTATGGGACAAACAGCTGACGCAGAAAATCCCAGATGTTTCTGTAGGTCCAGTCCTGGGAAGTGATAATGAGTCATTAGAACTGCCCTCACCCACAACTGCCACTGCCATCCCAGGGATGGGCCCATCTTGGGTACTTTTCTGTTTCCCTGGCCTTGAGGAAGGCTTGCTACCTGGATCTCTGTGTATCTTGCTTTGTGTGGGCTACCCCCTGCCAATCTCCGGTCCCCAGCCACCTGCCCTGTGCGATAAGCTGCAGGAGGATGTGTGTAAGTATAGAGCTTTCTGCCATGGTGGAAGCATCTAGCCCCTTGCTATCTGATATCACAGACATTTGCAATGTGGCTAGTGTAACTTAAGGAGTGAGTTGTTGGACTGGAGAAATGGTTCAGGGGTTAAGAGCACTGATTGTGTTCTTCCAGAGCACCCAGGTTCAATTCCTGCTACCCACATGGTGACTGACAACCATCTGTAATTTCAGTTCCAGGGTCCTGACTCCCTCTTCGGGCCTCAAGCATCTGGTACACATACTAGCCACACATACATGCAGGTATGAACTTCTTTTTCTCCCCCTTCCTTATATGTAGCTCATGCAGCTTTCAACATGGCCATCCTCCTGCCTTATCTTCCCACTTGCTGGGAGCTGAGGTATGTGCTAGACATTTCTTACACTCCTTGGGCTGGCCTGGTACTCCCTATATGGCTGGAATGACTTCTGTCTCTCTCGCCACTCTCAAGTCCCCAGTGATTTGTATCTGAAGTGGTGAAATAGGCGGCCAGTGGATGACGGGCAGGCTTGGGTAGGCATGGTGGTAGAGACTGAGCCCAGCCTCTGTGCACCTAGAGAACTCTACCAACTGAGCTACATCGTGGTGTTATGCGGTACTGGGTACTGAACCTACAGCTTTGTACAAGCTAGGCAAGGACTCTACCAACTGATCCCAAGAGCTGATTTTTAAATTTTATCTAAGTGAAAAATGACATATGAATCACATGCCATAAATTTTACCTTTTGAAAATAAATAATTCAGGGCTTTTGTTTTCCTGAGACAGGGTTTCACCCAGGCTGCCCAGAAGTCACTATGTAGTCCAGGCTGGGCTTGAACTCATACACTCCTCTTCCCTTTGCTTCTCAGTGGTTTTAATCATTTTTTTTATTTTTTCTATTTTTGAAATAGAGTCTCATATACCCAGACTGGCCTCAAACTTACTATGTAGCTAAGACTTGCCTTGAAGCTTAAAAAGTCATATTTATTTATTGGGGGCAGGGGGTGGGCAGGACTGTGTGAAGTCAATGAAGTCAAAGGGCAAGTTGTGGGAATCAGTTCTCTTCTGCCATAAGGTCCTGGAGATCAAAGTGCCTTTTCTGGCTGAGACATCTTGCCAGCCCTGACCTTAAACTTCTAATTCTCCTGAAGGCTGGAATTCTAGGCATGAGCTACCATACACGATTTCCAGGTGTGGTAGGCAGGCACTATACCAAATAAGCGGCATCCTCAGCCCCATAATCTGTATTTCATTTCAATTATAATTTAAGTATGAACAAATGGCTACTATCATATTGGACAGCACAGGCCCAGGTCGCTGTTTTGTCCAGTGAAAAGCACAATGCCTGCCACTGAATTAGTGCTCAATATTGGTCCAAAGGATGAATGAACACATAGCACTGCCTGCCTTGGGAGACAGGGCCCTTGGCTCATGCCTCAGGCTCTAGCCTCCTCACATTGGGGAAGGTACAGGGACTCATTTATTACCAGCAGCGGGTTGATACGCATGAACGAAGGCCAGCCGGGGTCAGTGGGACTGAAATGGCTGAGGCTACAAGAGTAGGGGTCAGTCCGTCGGGTGCCCATCAGGACAGCCTCCAGCTGGGGGTGCTTTTCCTGAAGTTCACCCAGGGCCTGCCTCATGTCACCTTCAGCCTCTAACACGTGCAGATGATACCTTGGGGAAGAAAGGACAGAGATGAGGAGCGGAGCTGATAGATCCAGGCCCTCTTAGAGCCCAGACCTCCAGGTCCCAATACCTCTTGATGGTGTCCTGTAGAAACTGCTCCAGCTCAGGGAAGGGCGAGACACTACGAATGTACAGGATCTGGAGAGGTTCTGGAACATCAGGAAATTTCCTGGGGAGAGTAAGGACCCATAGGCTTGGCAGAGAAGACAAGAGAAGTGTCCTCCAGAGAGTTCAGTATTCTCTTTGGGTCCTAGGATCAACACCCAAACTTTCTCCTTTTCCTTATCCTTTCCATCTAGCAAACCCAGACCCATTTCCTCTGAGAAGCCCACTCTGAGCCAGGGTCTTGCTGTGTAGCTCAGGCTGTCCTATAGTTCCCTATGTAGCAGCTGCCTCAAGCTCGCAGCCCTGCCTCAGCACTCTACGGGCTGGGATTACAGGAGTGTGCCAGTTTGCTTGGTTCATTCTGATTGCAAACCTAAACATCATTTCTGTTGCTATAAAATGAAAAATAGCAACACCTCCCACCTCAGGAAAAAAAAAAAAAAATTGGCTCTCATTGGTTGGCCTGGAACCCACTATGTAAACCAGGCTAGCTTCAAACCACAGCAGTCTACATCTAATACCTCTGTTGGGGTTGAAGGCATGCACCACCACAGCCAGCTGAGATTTTTTTAAAAGATAGGGCTTTAAGAAAAAAAAAAAAAAAGCCATGAAGCGAAGCGTTAGTTCAGCAGTTAAAAGCACTTGTTGCTCTTGTGGAGACTCCTGGAACTCACATGGCGCAAAACCATCTGTAAATGCTGGCCCCGAGGACTCTCTTCTGAGAAAGGTGGTCATAGGTGAATGCATACACTAACCATTCTCTAGACTAGCCTTCAGGTGCTGAGCTCACTGCTGGCGCTGCCACCATGCCAGGTTATGATGGCCAATAAATATCACCTCCCAACTGGACTGTGACTTTCCTCTGGTTGGCCACACAGTTAGAACTAAGGTCAGACAGACATCAGATGCTCAATAAATAAGGGCGAACAGCACAGATTTACCTTCCTCCCTGCTTTCTGGGATCAGGAGCTGGGATTTCGAGTTGGAGGTTTTAGCAGGTATTTCTGAGGCCTCAGCTCCCAGGGTAGGCTTACCTCTGCACAGCTGCATGGACGAGATGCAGGAGGGCGGTGCAGTCCTTGCCCCCATTGAAGCCCACACAGAGCTGGGAGAGGTGGTACTGAGTCAGGGCAGTCTCAATGGTTTGTAGGGCACCTGCTACCTTTTTCCCCAGACAAGACCCTGCCATTGAGGCAGGGAAAAGAGTGTCAACTAGATAAACATGGCTATCAAAGAAGTCATGTTACCCTTACTTAAAAACTTTCATTCTCTTTCCAGTGTTCTGGGATCCAAATGCTTTTATGCATTGCCTCTCTGTCTCCCTGCCTGCTCTTCAACCCCACCTCACACGGTTCTAGTCTTTCTTCTGGGGCAAGGACTGAGGGGAGGGAGTATGGGGACACTGGTTTCCTTTTGTCCTCTAGCTCCATCTGCTTCCTTCTAGTCTCCTTTTGTATTGTTTGTTCTTTCCCACCTCCAGGTCCAACCAAATTCCCATCTCTCAGTGTTTGTCACTTGTCTAGAAAACACTTCTGGGGGCTGGAGAGATAGCTCAGAGGTTAAGAGCACTGCTTGCTCTTCTAGAGGTCCTGAATTAAATTCCCAGCAACCACATGGTGGCTCACAACCATCCGTAATGAGATCTGGTGCTCCCTTCTGGCATTCAGGTGTACATGCAGGCAAAACATTGTATACATAATAAAATAAATAAATCTTAAAAAAAAAGAAAAAGAAAACGCTTCTCTCCCCAGATCAAAGCTGCTATCTCTGGTGTGGAATCCACTTCAGAATCACCTGTTTACCTGCTGAACAACGCATTATTCTGCTGAACAATGCATTACTTCTAAAGGCAGAACATACCTGTTCTGACAAGCTATGCCAACCTCAACACCCACCACAGTGCTGGTGAAAAGCGGTAATCAATAGTTACTAGAAGAATGAATGGATCAGCAGCAACTCTCTTCTACTTTTTCCTGGATCTGTGGGAAGCCCTCTGCAAACATTGCTAGACTTAGAGGAGGACCCGGACTCTGGTCCATACTGCCTTCCCCAAGGAGACTCCTACCTGACTGAGCAAGTTCGTATACGGCCTCGCGAGCCTTCTCAGCAGCATCAGGCAGGTAGGGGACCAATGATCCCTGAGGCAGACGTGCGGTCAGATAGGCCAGACATTCCTCCAAGGGCTCTTTTTCGTCGGAGTCTAGAATGAGCTTCACCTGATAGTAGTTGCTGCCCCAGTCAGGGTAGGAACCCAGGCTAAGCTTACGCCCAAAGTGGGCCTGGGCTTCAGTCAGGATGGGGGCGATTGAGCCCTCGGTCGCAGCCACATACAACTCCTTCAGGTGGAATTGCACAGCTGTGTTTTGGAATAGTCCTTTCAGTCCTTCCAACGCTCGCTGCAGCAGCTCCGGAATTCCTGGGAAGAGGTAGACATTTCGGACAGAGACCAGCGGGAATCTGAAGGGGTGGCCAGTCCGAGGGTCTGTGCCATAATGCAGGCGGGCAGAGGAGGGCACCAGCGACATCTTCTCCCAACCCTCCCCTCCTAGGGTTTTGATGACTGCTTGGAGCTCAGGGTGTGGTTTGAGTTCCTCCCCAAAGGCCTGTGCCACTGCCTCAAAGGTCACATCGTCATGAGTGGGGCCGACGCCCCCTGCAGTGAGGACGTGAGTGAAGCGGCTGGAGAATGAAGTGACCTCAGCTGCAATGGTGGCTACCTCATCAGGTACAACAGAAACTTGGCAAACCTGGACCCCCAGGGATCGCAGTGTCCGGCAAAGAAAGTAAGTGTTGGTGTCTTGAGTGTGTCCCTAGGGATTGGAGGAAGGATGAGACTGTCAGTGCTGGGGGATGGGGAGCAGCTATATTTGTCTAGTGATGGTGCTTTTCTCAGGGGAAGAGGGGATCTTCTTAGGCTGCTAAGGAGCAAGAATGAAAAACCCCATTTGAATGAGAGAAGACAGGATTCTCCTAAGGGGTACTTTCCTATCCATCCATCCTGACCTCACTTGCATTTATAAATTCGGTAGACAGTTCTGCAGCTTGATCTTGACCTCACCTATATTTATAGACTCAAACGTTTATATATTTATATATAGTTTATATATTATAAATTCAACTCAACTCAGTATTTATAGACACCAACCCCAACAGTTTCAGTTTCAGCCCCTGGCTTCAAGTATTGGGCAGCCTCACCACATGCCTGGTTATTTTGCTCAGTGGCAACCCAGACACTGGCCACGGTCAGCTAGGCCTTTCATTTTGTCAATTCCACTTATAAAAATTCTCACCAACTTCTCTCTTCGCTGTTTTCACTTTCTTGAGGAGGTTCGTAGCACCTTTCTCCTGAACAGTGCTGCCAGCCTCCAGCCACTGTGCTCTGCTCCCTGTCTTTTAAACATGTGGTGTTTTCCAATTGCACACAGATTAAAGTTCACATTCTCTTGCAATCATTAAAGCTGGCTGGCTATGTTGTTGGCCCTATCTTCTTCCCTACTCTTAACTTCTATTTTTCTATAGAAGGATGAGTATTTGAAAGTTTGTGTTCTGGGTTGAAGCGATGGCTTGCTGCTTTTCCAGAAGTTTGTTTCCTAGAACTGGAGTGGTCTTAAGTCCCACTCCAGGGTATCTTACACGTTCTTCTGGCCTCTGTGGGCACCTCCCCCTCCCCCAGATACATAAACGTAAAATAAGAATCTTTAAGCCTGGCATGGTGGCACACACCATGGTGGCACACTTTAATTCCAGCACTCCAGAGGCAAGGACAGTGACACTTGGATCTTTGTGAGTTCAAGGCCAGTCTGTTTAACATAAAGAAAGAGTTCTAAGCCAGCAGGTTTACCCAGTCACACTCTGTCCCAGAAAAAGTTTGTGACCTGCAGCTAGAATTCCATCTCTAGCACTTTCTTCCTTTTATTAATTTTGAGACAGAATCTCTCTGTGTAGCCCTGGCTGTCCTGGAATTGGCTATGTAGACAAGGCTAGCCTCTGAACTCAGAGATCCATGCTTCTACCTCCCAAATGCTGGGAGTGCCACTGTGCTCTTAGCACTCTGTACACTTGCAACTTTCAGCAAGTTTCTCAGCCTCTTCATGGAATTGCTGGGAGTTTGTAAGGCCACATGTGATATGTTAAGTACATGCCAGCCTCTGGTAAACACTAAAAAAGACCAGGGTGAATATTACTGTTAAAACCTATGCCTGCCACATCTTCCAGCAACACTGCTGATCATTCAGGATCGAGTCTTCTCTTCTAGGACCTTCCATCTACCTCACCTACCCAGTCTGCTGAAGTGCTTGAAAAACTATCAGATACGCTGGTTACAGATGACATACAGCTTCTCTACTTGCTGTGCCTTCTGTAATTGTTATGTGGCTACTCTGTTCCCTATCATATTGTTACATTGCTTGGCACGTTGTGGGGAAGTTGCTACTCATCTTTCAACAGAAAAAAAAAACTCAGTAACAGGAGGGTCATTTTTCCTCCAATCTGTTGGGGCTCACTCCAAGGCCCTGCTTTGGTAAGCAAGGGGCTTCCCACCCTGATTCCCCTCCTTTCATCGGAAACAGAGCCCATAGTAAGAGAAGCCACGCCCTTCCCCGCTGTAGTTCCAGACACACCTTAAGGATCTCATCTCCAACAATGATGATGCCTGCCGTCACGTTGCGTCCTGGGGGAAGTTCAGAGGCCACAGATGCCATGGTCCTGCCCTCTCTGCCCTTTTGCAAGGCTCTCCAGTAGCCACTCAGGACCCCAGATAGGGGTCGTAAGAACTGAGAGGTCGCCAGGTCTACAGGATACTGGAGGCCATACCCTGGGTACACAGTCTGGGGTCGAGGGAACCTGGAAGAAAGAGCCAGAAAGGACAGTGGGGAGGGCAGGACTGTACCTTCTTCCTTCTTAGAGGAAGGCTCAATCTTCTTTAGTCACAACATTTAAAAACGTTTCCTTTACTCCGGCCTTTTTAACGTGTTCTCAAGCCTCAGGCTCCCAAAAGCGTCTCTATTGCTATCCCTTTAAAGTGCCATGTTCTCCCAAGACCTACTACTTTAGATATTTCCGTCTGCCGAGCAGGTCTAAAATTTGCTCTCAGGTATCTGCACCTTTAAATGTCTCTTCTCTTCGGGTTACCTGTCCCTTTAAATATATCTACCTTATTCTGGGCCTCCGGATCCCTTTAAATGCATTCCTTTCCACCCTCCGCCACTGACAAGAACTCAACCTACTTCTGCACCCTTTCTACCCCGAAATCTGTTTTTCTCACCAGGCTTCAGATCACTAACCTCGTATCATCCCACCTTCCTTTTTTACCCCTTCACAGGGCACTTGGCCCCTTCCTTTCCGCGTGCCCTAGAACAGCTTCCGTACTCAAAGTCCCGCCTTTCAGTACTTCAAGTCGATTGGTTACTGTGGCTGTCGCTTACTCTCATCATGGTCCTATTGGTCTAGTCGGCAGTCGCTCACGCGGTTCAGCTAGGCGCTGAAGGAAATGCTAAGTTGTTATTGGCAACACCACGTGGTCATCACTGCCCGGAAATAAAAATAGGTGGCTGGCTTTAGGCCATGGCGGGCGGGACTTAAGAGTTAGGAATGCGAGCTGGAGAGATGGCTCAGAGGTTAAGGGCACTGGCTGCTCTTCCAAAGGTGCTGAGCTCAATTTCCAGCAACCACATGGTGACTCACAACCATCTGAGAACTGGAATTAAAAGGCGTGAGCCACCATGCCAGGCTCTGTATTCGAATGTGTGCTCATTACTGTTTCCATTAGCTAAGACTAATTCTAGGCTAAGGGATCAGAGGCTGGTAGAATTTTTTTTCTGTTTGTTTGTTTGTTTTTGTTTTTGTTTTTGTTTTGTTTTTTTTTTTTGAGACAGGTTTCTCTGTAGCCCTGTCCTGGAACACAAAGATCCTCCTGCCTCTGCCTTCCAAGTACTGGGATTAAAGGTGTGTGCGACCACAGATGGTTTTTGTCTCTTATACTAAAGGTTCAAGAGATTTTCCTGCGATACTCCATTTCCCATGGGTGTCTCTGGGACGGGAGGCCCAAGATACTGCACCAAGCTGGGGTTTTATTTTGTAGCAGGAAGAAGGTAAAAAAAAAAAAAAAAAATGTTTATTAGCATTAACAATTGGGAGTGAGCTCTACAGTGTGGAACCTTCGCTTGTTTCTAGCATAAACGGAAAAACTACTTAAGCCTCTTTGACATTAAAAATTAAAAATTCTTTCCTGCCCCACCTGCCTCCAGGAGAAAAACACTTTTCCCTTGTACTCACGTTGTACTCCTCAGTCTATCTTACTCCTATGTCAGTAGGAGTACCTCGTACTCACATTGGGAGTTCATCATCCTATTACTCCTGTGTCAGTGCCCCTCCATCCTCTGTGGGTGCCAGGGAAAATAGTTTAATCATCTGGGATCTTTTTTAAAAGTTCTATTGCAAGCTGGCCCTGGTGGTGCAAGCCTGTAATCCCAGCACTCTGGGAGGCAGTGGCAAGCAGATCTCTGTGAGTTCAAGGCCAGCCTGGTCTACAAAGCAAGTCCAAGATAGCCAAGGCTACACAGAGCAACCTGTCTCCCAAAAAACAAAGCCCTATTATTGTGTGACTGGGCAGGAGGGCAGTGCCACAGCATGCATGCAGAGGTCAGAGCACAGCTTCCTGGAGTGGCTTCTTCCACTCTTATGTGGGGTGGTCCTGAGATCTAACTCAGGTAGTCCGACGTGGGTGGCAAAGGCTTTCGTTTTTACCTGTTGAACCATCTCACCAGCCCTAGGACACTTACAGTATGTAAATTATGATCCAGCAGGTGTGGATAGGGTCTGAGATCTACATTTCCCTTGGGATTTTGTGCTGTGACTTGGAAACATGCTAAACCACAACTGGCCGTATTTCACTGCACGAAAACTTTTCAAACAAATACACTCACTTTACTTGTGGAGAAAGTGCTGGCAATATAGTTTAATGTTAGAGTACTGATCTAACATTGTGAGGAACTGGTTTCATATCCCAGGACTGATGCTATAGGGAATGTAAGACCAGCCTTAAGTTGTAAGTCCTGTGGGGTTTCCTCAGTTTGGAAAAAAAAGGGGTGGTGGTGGTGAGGGGAATGAATGTGACCAGAGTGTATTATATATTTGTTTGAAATTGTTAAGCTGAGAGTAGTGGCAGACACCTATAATCCCAGCATTCAATAGGTAGAGGCAGCTGGATCTCTGAGTTTAAAGCCAGCCTGGTTTACAGAGTGAGTTCCAGGCCAGCCAAGGCCACATAGTAAGACCCTTTCTCAAAATGAGCAAATAATAATTTAGAAAGAAATATATTAATATATAGATTTTAATCTCTGAATGCTCTATCTGCATGTGTGCCTGCATGCCAGAAGAGGGCACCACATCTCTTTAGAGATGATTGTGAGCCACTAGGTGGTTGCTGGGAATTGAACGAAGGACCTCTAGAAGAGCAGCCAGTGCTTTTAACCTCTGAACCATCTCTCCAGCCCTGTTGTAAATTTTTAAGTGCACATTACTAGAACTGTTAACATAGTGCTGAGCCCAGTTCTCAGGATTCCACGAAACAGTATGCCCATGAATCTGCATTTTGAACATTTCCAGGTGATGAGGCTTCCTTTAGGTCTGTGATGGCTGAGGGGGCTGGAGAGATGCAGCAGCAATTACTTTTGTAGACCTGGGTTGGATTCACAGCATCCAGGTGGTAGCTTCTAATCATCACTTCAGTTCCAGAGCATCTGATGAGCGTGCATGTGTTAGCAAAATAGTGACACATGCAACATAAATCTAAAGCTGGGCATAGTGAATACCCTCAGTCTCAGCACTTGGGAGACAGAGGCAAGGCCAGCCTGGTCTACATAATGAGATCCTGCCTCAAGAAAACCAAATAAATCTAAAACAAAACAAAACTTGTATACAGTGACAATTAAACTAGGAATAAAAGAATAATGGGCGACAGTGTCTCTTAAGTGTACGCTATTACTGGACGAACATCTTTTTTCAAACATCAAGCAGGCCTGTGTACATTCATGTGTCACAGTTGTGGAGGTCAGAGAACAGCTCAAAGGACAGCTCTCTCCTTGCCCCAGTACATTAAAGTGCTTAGGTTTGGTGGTATGCCCATTTGCTGAGCCACTTTTTAAAGATAAGTTCTTAGATATTTATGTATGTAAATGCTTTGCCTACACGTATGTATTTGCATCATGTTTGAAGGGAGCTGAAGGTAGGTCTGCAAGAGCGACTAGCGCTCTTAATCACTTTGCCACCTCTCCTACCCTGAACCACCGTTCTTAAACAGCTAGTTGATACCATTGTTTACATTCAGTCTACACTCCAGAATTTTTCTGTAAAAAAAAAAGAAAAAAAATTCAACTTATGGGTAGAGGCCAAAAGAATGTGTTCAATCTCCTGGAACTGCAGTTACCATGGTTGTGAGCACCCCAGGGAATTAAATGCAGGTGCGCTGAAAGAGTAGCAGGTGCTCTTAAAAGCTGAGCTTTTGTTTGGCCCACTCCAAAGAATTACTCTAGGTATGACTCTGGTGGGATCAGTATTGAAACTGTCCAGGCAGTTCTCCTACTCAAACCCACTTGAAATCCAGCCATCAGTCACAGTGACATGTCACAGGAGCTGGGATCCTGTGCAGGCACTTCAGCCCCAGAACAGCTCCAGGTCCTCCTCCCCTGTCTTTGGATGCTCTTCAAATGTTGGGACTGTAGAAAACAGTTCATTTGCTTTGATGAGTCCCAATAAAAACATTATCTTAGGCCAGTAATCAGAGTGAAATACCTTTCAATGAATGTTTTTTACACTGTCCAATAAACATAGTTATTGGAATATTCACCTAAGCCTCATTATTGCTAAGAGCTGTTTCCACCATCCACCCCAAGGTGTATCATTCAGCTCCACCTAGCCAACCATTTGCACTGGGCTTTTGAAGTCTCTCCTAATCTGGGCAATTCTAGGTTTTATAAAGAGGTCACATAGCCCTCAGGGCAGATTACAAGCCTGACCCTTCCCTGATAAGGAAACTGCTAGCAAGCAGCTAGAATTCCTAGAAACACCTAACCCTGCTAAGGATCGTAGTCCACCAGTGGCCTTCAATTGTACTTGGGAGATCCTGGTCCAAGCACCATAGGATAATTAAGTACTGAATTTTCCTTCTTGTGACAGGACCATTAAGTATCTCTGACCCCTGACCCCACAGAATCAAAGAGATCTTATAACCACAGTTATTAGATTATAAAAACTTCCTTTAATCAAGGCTTATAACATGGAAGAGATCTGTCAGATAAAATGGAAAGTTTCCAATACATGAGACATAAATCCCTTGAAACCCCTCCCTCTGCCCAGGGTTTATATTGCCCTTGATTTCACATGAATAAAGGTTCCTGCTTTCTCAGTTCAATATTGTCTAAGACTGGGAGGTGAACACTCAAATTTGGGTTGCCTGTCCAGGCAACTACCTCCCCGCCACTGTAAGTTCCTTAACCTCCCGAGGCTTTATTGCTGGTCAGCTAGCCTTGTGCTGCTGGTTTTGGTGAGCTTCCACCATTCACTGTCCCACAGCACTGTTGTGTCTCACCTGATCTACCTTCTGGTGGCTCTCTGGCTTCTGCTATGCTCAGGACAGCAGCTCAGTCAAGAGCTGTAACACTCTGGTATCATGACAGGCCCTAGGGCACCTGAGATTCCATCACCACCAGCGCTCTCATGCTAACACTGTGGAAAACCCTTTCCACACTCCGGCTTAGTGCACTGGGGCTTCACCCTAAAGCACTCTAGCTGATAAGAGAAATTGAACCTGTTTTTCTACTGAAAGCTGAACTCCCTGACCCCAGCTAAGATCCAGATCCCAGCCCCGCCAGAAGCCCGTCAAGAAGGATTCCATAGTATCACCTTGGTTGCAGAAAGGGGGATAGTTCAGAGAGAATGAAGGATGGGGGAGGGGCAGGAACGACGAAAAGGGACACTGACCACAATGACACATGGATAAGACGATCTTATAACCACAGTATTAGATTATAAAAACTTCCTTTAATCAAGGCTTATAACATGGAAGAGATCTGTCAGATAAAATGGAAAGTTTCCAATACATTGAGACATAAATCCCTAAGTCACCATAAATACAATACCCAATAGTGAAAACCACAACAGCAAATTCACACCATCCCTGTAAGACCCATGATCTGATTTCACATGCTTCTGAGAGATGGCGATTATGGCGTACTGATACAGAGCACACTAGGGCTTGAGGTCACACTCATCTGACAAGGCTGTGGCATTGGTGGCTCAACTCAAGAAGCAATGCAGGTACAGCACATTCAAACAGTGTATCGAATGAACATCCTTTAAATATCTAAGTGGGAAATAGGAAAGCAACACAATCAGGCTATCAGAAAGATGGTAGGAAGTAAGGACAGCTGTGTAAAGCTTGAGACTGAAAGTTGGTTCGCCAGCTTCATTTCTTTGGCTTCTTGGGTAGTGGCCGCCGGAACAGTAAGATGTGAGGCTCTGAAAGAATCAGTGAAATCTCAGAAAGAAACTCACACCATTCTAAGCACAACCAATAGTGTATGCTACCAGTGCGCCCCAGCTCTCTGCCATGTACGGAATTGTTAGTTTTTTTCTGTTTGTACAGCCCTGGGTGTCTGGTGTCTTACCAAGAAACAGAACTGCCTGTGCTTATTTGGAACACTTCAGTCTTTTGCAGGGGTCATAATCAGGGCATATGGGGCATTTAAAAGAGTACCCTCTGGCTAAACAGTTTGTGTGCCCCCCCCCCCCCCCCGTAAGATTGTCCCTATCCTCCTAGGTAGTTTACTTATTTTTATAATTCTGGCTTCTCTGCATAGCTGAAGTGAGAAAAAACAAAACAAAACAAAACAAAAAACCCTGTAAATGATGTTCTCCCTCTACTGTGCTGGTTTGTAATCTTCCTCCAGCCAGAGTAAAGTTGCTTTACATTGCACTGACCTGGTTCATGGATCATGTAATGGACCCATCCCTGACTCTGCTGCACACCAAGGTTCCTCCACTCGGATTCAGACATCAAATGGGTTTTAGGGACCAGCTTGGCTATGTCCTTGGGCAACATGACATGCCTGTAACAGAAACATGTGGATGTGAGTGAAGAGTCTGTGCCAGTAGTGAGTACAGTCTGCTGGCACTGACCCACTTGCACATACAAACAGAGGAAGAAGAAAGGCTGAGAGTGTGATAGCTCACACCCATGGTGATGCTGGCACTTACAGGGAAATGGCAGAATTACCAGGCATTTGGGGCCATCCTGGGCTACAGAGAATCCGTGAAAACAAGCGTGTAGCCTAGTGTGGGGACACTCGCCTTTAATCCCAGCACTCAGGGTGCCTCAGAGAATCTCAGTCTGAGGCTGATTTACAGAGCGAGTTCCAGGATAGCCAAGAGAAACCTTGTCTCAAAAAAACAAAATAAATTTAAGAAACCAAACAACCAAACCACAGACGGAAACAGCAAAAACAAAAAAACAAACCAAACAAAAAACACTAAAGCAGTAACTAGTTCCTGATTATTAGGGAATTTGTATAATCTTACTATGGACTGTTCGGCAGAGGGAGCTAGAAACACAGATTTCATAAATTTTCTTTAAAAAAAAAAAGATTTTATTTTAAATAAATATGTATATGAATGCTTTATTTGCACGTGAAGAGGGCAGTAGAGGATATAGATGGTTGTGAGCCACCACGTGGTTGTTGGGAATTGAACTCGGGACCTCTGGAAAAGCAGACAGTGCTCTTAACCACTGAGCCATCTCTCCAGCCCATAAATTTTCATTAAAAAAAAAAAATATTAAAAACACAAATTAATGAGCCATCTGAGTGGAAGAATAACTGGCTATCAGACACTGATGGTACCTGTATTCCCTCCATTTCTCTATAAAGAAGAATATGTAAATGTTCATATTGAACTTCATTTTCCAACTCTTAAGGGAAATCCCATACTTTCCTAACCAAAGGTTAATGGCAAAAAAAGTTACCTGACTTGACTCAGACTACCTCAGGTAGACTGACTTCGTTGAACATGATAACGAAGATGAACTAAATGCCTCCTTTGTAGTAGTAACAAGAGAGGGGTGCCCTTCCCCACCCCTCATTCCAGTTCCAATGCCAGAAAAGAATTTCCATTCTAATGAGTCCCGGCACAAAACTATGACTTCGATGCACAGACTCAAAATGACCTTCCTTTAAACAAAAATGCCACCACTGAGCTAAAAGTTACATCTTCTGGGGGAATGAAGGCACTCATTTCTTCCCTGCCATGCAATGCAGTAAGCATTAGTTATAGACACGAAATGCAGCTGAGTACAGAAGGCAGCTGGATTGAACAAGGCTGTGGTTGCTTATCCCACCCAAGTAACAGTGCAGCCTGACCCTGCTTAGATTCTGAGACCCAGGTGGCTGATGGTTATATATTTTTGTCAGTACACATCCAGTTCTCCAGGATGTCTGAAACAGGACAAGTGAAGGAGACACAGAAAAGCTAGTTTTCATTTTATGCTCTCTAAGGAGAGATAATACAAATCAGGAAGTTGTCTTAAGGAATACAGGTCAGCGTAATATCAACCTCTGTGGGACCTTGTCCTCCCTCATTTTCAATTTAAAATCGGGGACTTGGTACTATCACATGCAAATACCTGCATGCTCAGTGCAAGAAATTTTTACAGTGCTTGGCAGATAGCCAGCACGTGGACTCTATAAATATCACACAAGCTGTTCTCTTTGCTGTGTTCTCAGGGTCTCACCTCAGGAGTTCCTCTAACAAAACTTCCCTAACCTTTCCTCTTTCTCACACCTGTGCTCAGCTAGTACACATTAACGTTCTTTCTAGAGTCAGTTTACTCCACGTTCTTTTAAAGTCTGTCTTAAGCACTGATCATACATGCCTTTGTTGTCTTGAGACAGGGTTCTATTCTGTAGTCTAGGCTGACTGGAAACTGACAATCCTGCAGCTTCCAGAATGCTGGAGATTAAAGGTGTGAGCTAGTTTACCGGCTTATCTTGCATTTTAGCAGAACACTTGAAACCTGTGTACAAAGTCATAACTGATCAACTATTTGAAGGGTATCTCCCTACGTCCAGTCTTCATGCAAGTCCTGCAAACTCTCTATTCAAAGCAAGGCTGACATACACGCTCCTTTTCTTCTTCATAAACTAATAACCACCAACCCTGAGGCTCTCTCCGAACTGTCCTTTCATTAAGAGCATGAAACTTTCAGCTATGAATTGACCACTTTCTTTCTCCCAGTAGACTTTGAGATTTTAGCAATGCGAGCAGGTCCTATTTGGCAAATTAAACTGCCGCAACAAAGTTATGCGGGTGATGGGAAAATTCCCAAAGGTGAATCTGATCGGAAACTCCAACACGCTTCTCATTTGACAGACGGCCACCTCAAAATCCCTTTCATTGTTTTACAACCTCGTTTACAGTTTGCGCATGCGCTTTGCTACTGCACCGATCCAACCCCCACCCCACCGCCCGCTAATCTCTTGCGCACGCGCCGGTTCTACACTGTTTCCTCCCCCTCCCTCGGGCAGCCCCCGGCCTAGGTAACTAACTGCTCGTGTGCTCCTTTGTGAAGGCGCACAACGTGGCTGTAGTCCCCGCGCCGGCACTAACCGGTACTCGAACTCCTCGTCGTCGTATTTGTCCGAATAGTAAATTTGTTTGTGCGACATAACGGCTCTGCCCGAGGGCGCTCAGCCCCGCGCCGCTGGCCTCCAAACAACTCCCAGCAACACGCGCTCCCACCCTCTTTGGCCTCGCGTTCAAACACACCGCCTGCACTTCCTATTGGTCTCCTCGGCCGAAGGCGGGACAGCTCCATTTGGAAGTACCCGATTGGCTGGCATAGGCGTCTCCCCGCGTCGTAAATGGAGTCGGGGCTCAGGTTTCTGAGGCGTGAGCTGGGTCAAACTAGGGTTTTCATTGGCTTCCACTGAGCCCCGTGCGTCTTCTCGCGCAGTCATTGGCTGGCGCTGGAAAGCCACTGGTAAGGGAGGGGCGGTGAGGTAGGGTCAGGGGTTAGTGAGGCCGGAAGTGAGTGTAATAAAGTTTGTCTGGGGAGGCCCTGGCCGGGGTAAAAGTTGGGGTGGTGACTTAAGCAGACAGTTGCGTGATCCGGAACCAGATCGGCCCGCGGTGCGGTGCGGAGACTCCATGCGACCCTGGTAAGTCTAGGCTTTCTCTCAGTGGCAACCCACTCCTCTTCCACCCCGGAACCCCTCTCCCAGGACCCTACTTCCGGTCTTGCTGTGTAAGTCCCGCCCTCGAGACCCCCTCCCCGGAAGTCCCACCTTTCAATTTCAAGGGGTTCCCTGAGCCCCATCTTTCTTACCGTCGCGACCACGCCCTGTCGTCCCACTTCCCTGGAAATCCCACCCGCAGAGATGTTTCCCATGTCTCCGCAACAGTCTTTTCTAGTTCTCTGAAAGTGCCTCCTCAGGATTCTCTGCTAAACCTAAATCTATCAAAAGCCTGGTTTCCAAAATGGGCAAAACCTTGGTTGTGAAAGAACGATTCGACTTTGTAGAGGTGACGCCTCTCTGTTACCCCGCCCCTCTGGCCCCGCCCCTTCCACTGTCCACGTCTGGTCCAGGGAATGTGGCGCACTCCTCTTTAGGGACTTGGCTTCTTCTCCCTGCTGGAGTTGGGTCCATGCCTCAAAATCCTGGTCTTAAGTCCTGGACGCTTCACCTGCTTCTATATCCCTCTCCATTCTTTAAGCCTTGGGCTTAGTTTTCCTGAGCGCTGGTGCTCCATCAGGTGGGAGGTTGAAATTTGTGGTTGTAAGGCAGGAGCTTATTGGCAATTTCGTTTCTCCCGTGACCTCCGAGAATGAATTAAGTTGAAGGGGCTGGCAAGGGAGTGGACGACGGAGTGGCTTCTTCAGAGACTCTTGACCCTGCCGCTCCTTTCATGGGCAGCCCCCATCCCAGAGACAGCCATAGATGTATTTTACCATGCCGGGATTGGACTAAGCATTGGTTTGTGTAAACCTAACAGGAGCGAAAGTTTTTCTGCTGTCAGAAAAAACAAAACAAAAAACTGTTTTGGAGTCAGGAGTAGGGTTTAATGTCATTTCCGTTGTTTTTAAAGACCCCTCCCCCTAACCAGATCGCTTGTTGGCAGTCATCCTGGCCCCACTTGCCCAAACTTCCCTGCTGGAAACATTCCTGAAGCCTTCGCCATTTCCTGCTATTTCCTGCCATTCCAGCTTCCTCCCTGCTGGGCTGAGGTGTTTGACGCGGCTCTCCCCCAACCCCCGTTTCCTAACTTTGGTCCGGTAGGCAATCTCCCATCTCGTTAAGCAAATTTAAAAGCTCTTGCTTTCCATTTTTCCCAATTGTGCATACCTGTTGGTCATTCCTTGCCTCTGGATATGAAGCTCCCAGAACATTCATCTCTCAAGATGAAGAAATCATAGTGTGTTTGTGTGATTGGGAATATGAGGTCGTGGCAGATTATCTCCCCCTCCTCGGCGCAAGAGCAAACGGAATGACGGAATTTCTTTTCAGGAAGAGGTGTGCTCAGTAACAGCTTTCCTGGGATGGGGACTAAGGGCAGGTGAAAGAGTGAAGCGTGGTATTTAATCAGTTTTAAGTGCTAGTTAGTAATAGTCAAACAGTTCTTATTTTTCAAAATAAACCTAGGGGTAATGAATGAATGCCAGAGGCTCTTCCTGTAAGGTTATGAGACAAACTAATTAAATAAAGACGATTAGGCGTACGACAGATCTTATATATAAAAGAGGTTTATTAGGTGGATATGGAGAGAGAGAGAAGGGAGAACAGGACATGATGGGGGAAAGAAAGAGAGGAGGGTGCACGCCGATAGAGGAAGGACCAAGAGAGCAAGAGAGAGACCACGAGTCGAGTTGTCTTTTTAAGGGGCAAGGTAACCATACCTTCCAGGTGTGGCCACCTGGCCATCGACACATGATGACATCATAAGGCAACCCAGAAGTAGGTTTTGTTCCAAAATCCTACCCCCCCCCCCCCCCCACACACACACACAGGTTTTCTCTGTACCAACCCTGACTGTCTTGGACTCTCTTTATAGACCAGGCTAGCCCGGAACTCACAGAGACCCATCTGCCTCTGCCTCCTGAGTGCTAGGATTAAAGGCGTGCACTTCACCTGGTCTACCTAAGGATAATTTGGAGGTGAGCCCGGAAGAAACTATCTCTTAGCTGGCATGGTGGCACACACCCTTAATCCCAGCACTTGGGAGACAGAGGCAGGTGGATCTCTGTGAATTCCATGCCAGCCTGGTCTACAAAACAAGTACAGTCAGAACAGTCAGTGCACACAGAGAAAACTTGTTTTGGAAAAAAAAAAAGTAAATTTTTTTTATTTGGTTATTTATTTTCTTAAGGAAATAAGTGATAGTTTATTTTGGAGCTATTTTGATTGGTCACTTTCTCTAACTTCCTGTATTGGCTTTAGCCGAGTTGTGGCAGGAAACTGTGGGCAAAGAAATAGGGTTTGGTGTTGTTATGCACTTGGCCAGATCCCAGCTTCTGGTATCCCTTTCTCCTTTCTGTCTCATTAACACAGATTTGTTTATGGCTCTGTTATCCCTTTGAGGCCTGTAGGCACCAGTTGTTTGTTTGTTTTTTCTTTCTTTTTCTCCTACCTCCAAAGCCAGCCCCATCCTGTTGGGTGGGATTTACAGCCCATAAAGAGTAAAAGTATGCCTTGTAGGGGTGGCCTGAACTCTCTATATCCTCTGGCTTTCTTCAGCAGGCCTATGGGAAAGGGGGCTTAAGAAGTCTGTTCGTCCTTTGTAGGTGACTTGTATAAACAGACTTGCTCTATCTCTTGCCTGGTAGCCACCAAATTAGCTTTTATTCCTCCAGTTTCAGTATTTCCTTTCCTCTTGGCCTGCTCCTCATCCGCTGGGGTTGCTTTCCCTTCCTCCTTCTCTGCTCTTGTCCACAGCTGCTGTGGTGTGGGCATGCTAATGGCCCAGGTGCCCTGAGCTTCCCCCTCATTCATTGTATGGTGGGGGTGGTCTGCGCTAGCCGCTGAGGGAATTTAGGTATTCAGCCAGGACTGGAAAGGAAACGCTAAATTTGAAGTCTCTCCCCCTTCCACACACACACCTTTTCCACCCTCAGCAGCTTCTGTTTCCTTCCTTATCCCTCCTAGCTGTCCCTGGCTTCCTGCTCTCCTTGGCTTGCCCTTGTCGGTTTGGATTGATCCAGAGTTTCTTTTAACTCCTTGCTTTCTTTTTCCATCTTTCTTTCTGCCTGGCACCTTCCTCCTCCCCAGACAGATTAACAGTTGTTTGTATTGGGCAGGGTAGATTGGCCTGGCTAGCACAAATCGTGTAGGGAGTTGTCTCAGCCCCTTTGAGCCTGTGAGTCAGCACTGTCCTGGGGATTGGTCTCTCTCCTTAGTTCCCCGCCCCTGGGGAGGAGCCAGTCAGCTCTGGGTCCAGCCTGTACTCCTCAGCCATAAGAGGTTTCCTCGCGGGGCTTGACAAGGATGTGGTCTGAAATTGTCTAGGTCTGACGTGGGAGAGCAGAGGCCACTTGTCCTTCGCCTCCCTAGGTCTTCTGTTATCACCCGGCTGCTGAGGTCAGACCAGGCTAAGGGCCTGGGGATGCCCCCTGCCTGGCCCCCTTGCCTGAATTGGCAGGGGGGCCGGGCCAGGCAGCAGCCCCCCTTCTCACCTAGCCATGGATCTTCTGCCCCCCAAGCCGAAATACAACCCACTTCGAAATGAGTCTCTGTCGTCGCTGGAGGAGGGGGCTTCAGGGTCTACCCCCCCGGAGGAGCTGCCTTCCCCATCAGCCTCATCCCTGGGACCCATTCTGCCTCTGCCGGGGGACGATAGTCCGACTACCCTGTGTTCCTTCTTTCCCCGGATGAGCAACCTGAAGCTGGCTAATCCTGCCGGGGGTCGCCTGGGGCCCAAGGGGCAGCCAGGAAAGGCTGCTGAAGATGGGGAAGGGAGTGCAGGGGCAGCAGCCCTTCAGGACTCAGGCCTCTTGCCCCTCCTCCAGGACATGAACAAGCTGAGTGGAGGCGGTGGTCGCAGGACTCGAGTAGAAGGGGGCCAGCTGGGGGGCGAGGAGTGGACCAGACACGGGAGCTTTGTCAATAAGCCCACTCGAGGCTGGCTGCATCCCAACGACAAAGTCATGGGACCTGGGGTTTCCTACTTGGTTCGGGTGAGTGAACATCCTCCTTTCCACTCCTTCCCATACCCCTTCCAGTTCCTCTGCTCACTCCAGATTTGCCATTCTCCCAGTTTTAAACCTGCTGCATCCCTTCTCCAATTCTCTGCCCTTATGCTCTATCCAGCCTGGGAATCTTCTGCCTAAGGTCCCCTTTCCTTTTTTGGTCCTCCCCTACCCCCCCAGCTTACACAATGCCCAAACACACTAGCTGCTTTCAGTAAGAGTTGTATGAAAATGACTTCTTGATTCTTTCCTCTAGACAACTCCCTTTGCCAAATGTCACTCCATCCCACCCAATGGCTGCTACTCCTCTCACAGTCTCTCCACAGTGCATGAAGGTCCTCTTTGGTGGCCTTTTTTTTCAACTTTCCCTTTTGCCATATACCTATGGGGTGGTGGCCCCCAACATTGGGAAGGGTACTTCACCTTAACTTCCCTTAGGGACTACATAGGGTAAAGCCCTAGAACCTTCAGCAAAGGGCTGGGCAATGGGGGTGTGGGAGGGGGACAGCTGATCCCTTCTTCCCTTCCCCCACAGTACATGGGTTGTGTGGAGGTCCTGCAGTCAATGCGAGCCCTTGACTTCAATACCCGGACTCAGGTCACCAGGTTAGTGGGGAGTCTTAGGATCAGTGAGGTTACAGAGGTCTCAATAAGGGAGAGGAGGGAAGCTGGGTATTTGGTGGTGGTGCTGGTGGTGACTTCTCATAGGTGGTCAAGAGAATTGAGAGAAAGTTACAGAAGTAAGTGACTGAAAAGAGCCAGCTTTGTCCTGGAGCACCCCCTTACCAGTCCAGCTTTGGAAACTGGGGGAAGATGGACTAGAAAAGGCGGGGGTAGGAGGTTGCTGCTGCTTTGGGGAAGGGAATGGAACATTTGGTAGCTGGGAAGAGGTAGGGCTATAGCCATTGAGGCCCTAACCCAACCAGCCAGGAAGCAGCCCTCAGTGTCATCAAATATTAAAGCCCTTAATTCAATCCACCACAACAAAGAGCCTGGAGTGCTCTGGGAGTCTGGCCTGGTCTTCCCTTCCCCCAGCACTGTGGCAGCCCCAGCCAGTGGGAGGCCAGTGGTGGGTCTGAGTACCCCTGTTTCTCCAGGGAGGCCATCAGTTTGGTGTGTGAAGCTGTGCCTGGTGCCAAAGGGGCGATAAGGAGGAGAAAGGTATATGTGGTTGGGAGGTTTATGTTAGAGCTGGGAGTTGGGAGGGCAGGGGGAAAGCAAGTGCATGTGGGAAGCAGACAGGAGTGTTTCCTGGTTCTGGGAAAACTCAGACTCTGAGACTCTGGGCCCTTTCCTAGCCCTGTAGCCGCCCTCTCAGCTCTATCCTTGGGAGGAGTAACCTGAAGTTTGCTGGAATGCCAATCACTCTCACTGTGTCCACCAGCAGCCTTAACCTCATGGCAGCAGACTGCAAACAGGTGGGTAGGGCTCAGGAAAGAGACCAGAGACAGTTATGGGAGGGTCAAGGGGGGCCCTGAAGGCCAAAAACTTGGAGTCCTCAGGAGCAACTGGAAAGTAGAGAAGGGAGAAATTAGAAGGGTTGGGTATGTTCAATGTCAGCACGCAGGAGGCAGAGGCAGGGGGATTTCTTTGAGTTCCAGGCCATCCAGGGCTTGTACGTCACTCCACAAAAGAAAGAAAGAAAGAGGAAGAAAGGAAGGAGAAGAAAAGAATCGAATCTAGGGTAAAAAGCCAAGAGAATGAGACTGGGGCTCCAAGGTTCTGAGTTGGGGTGACAGTATACACTGACTCCTGAGACTGCCTGACACTTACCATTCCCTTCTTCCCCGTCCCCTGCCCTCATCAGATCATTGCCAACCATCACATGCAATCTATCTCATTCGCGTCTGGTGGGGATCCGGTGAGTTGGGGAACAGGAAAGATGGGGGTGGGGAATAAGAGACTAGAGGCTAAAAAGACACTGACTAGAGGCTGGTCATGGTGGCACACACCTTTAATCCCAGACTCAAGAGGCAGGTGACTATCTTGAGTTCCAGGATGGCCAGGTCCATTTAGAGAAATCCTGTCTCAAGGAACCAAAAGTGGGGGTCTGGAGAGATGGCTCAGAGGTTAAGAGCACTGGCTGTTCTTCCAAAGGTCCTGAGTTCAATTCCCAGGTAGTCCGTAACCATCCATAAAGGGATCTGGTGTCCTCTGCTGGCATGCAGTCAGAACACCGTACGTATGTATGTATGTATGTATAAATAAATAAATAGGTGGCTAAATAAACAAGTAAATAGGTAGATAAATAAATATTAAAAAAGAAGAAACCAAAAGAGGGAGGAGGGAGAAAGTACTGACTAAAGAAGTGGGGGTGCTAGGATTGTGGAAGTATCTGAAAAGGATAGTCTTGGTGGGTCAAGAGTGAGGCGGAGTTGTGAAGTCTAGCTAATCAGTCTTTGAACCTACTCTCTCTAGGACACAGCTGAATATGTTGCCTATGTTGCCAAAGATCCTGTGAACCAGAGAGGTGAGGCTTGCGGGCAGCACTGGCTGTAACCAGTATGGGAAAGTGTGGGATCACTTTTCCTTATTCTTAGCAGTTATACTTGAAAGGGCTATTCTACTGAGAAGGATTGCGGGTGGGGCTCCTGTCCATATGTCCTCTCAGAGCTTACCAGTGGTTTCTGTTGTGCCCCAGCCTGCCATATCCTCGAGTGCCCTGAAGGGCTTGCTCAGGATGTCATCAGCACCATCGGTCAGGCCTTTGAGCTGCGCTTCAAACAGTATCTCAGGAATCCACCCAAGCTGGTCACCCCACATGACAGGTAAGCTGGTGGAAAGACTGTTAGGCCCCTCAGACTACTGTTGTGAAGTAGGTTTTTTCTTCCATGCCTGAGCTCCTAGGGGCTCAGCAAAGGTAATGACCCGTGTGCCCCTGTTCCCTTTCTGCTATGTTAACCTGTCCAGGCTCATCAAGAAAGTCTCTGAGGGCCGTGCGTGCCGCAGGGACAGCTTCTTCCTTTTGTTTGCCGTGGGTGGGGTTATATTCCAGCACCCTCCGCTAGGTTGCTTTTTCTGACTGGATGAACTTTTAAATTCTCAGGTGCCTCACTTTTGGCCTGTCTCTGTATTCTTGTACACTTTTATTCTTCTAAAAGATTTATTTTTATTTTATGCATTTATGTGTTTTACTGCACGTATATAAGTATACACTGCCTGTGGAAGTCAAAGAGGGCATTAGATACCCAGGAACTAGAATTACAGGTGTTTCTGAGCTGCCATGTGAGCTCTAGGAACCAAACCTGGGTTCTCTTCAAGATCAGCAATGTTCTTAACGACTGAACACCTTACTCCCTCATTATTGTTCTGTGAATTCCTGCCTCTAAAGGTCATTAAGAATCTGGATTTTTTTTAAATAATTTATTTAATTTTTATTTTATGTCCATTAGTGTAAAGGTGTCAGATCCCTTGGAATTGGTGTTATAGACAGTTGGGAGCTGCCCTGTGGGTGCTAGGAATTGAACCCAGGTCCTTTGGAAGAGCAGGTAGTGCTCTTAACCACTGGGCCTTCTCTCCAGCCCAAGAATCTGGATTTTAATCACATGTTTAATCCCAGCTCTTGGGAGGCAGAGGCAAGTGGATCTTTGAGTTCTAAGCCAGCCTGATGTACAGAGTGGTCTCTGAGTTCCAGGACAGCCAGGGTTACACAGAGAACTGTGTTTAAAAAAAAAAAAAAAAAAAAAAAAAAACCTCTAGCTTAAGAGAATATATTTTTCCTTTTTTGTGCATGTGTATATGTTTGTGTGCGTGGAGACATATGTTGGTGTGTGTTGTGTGTATGTAGAAGTTGATGTCAGTTGTTTTCCTCTATTGCTTCACACTTTGTTTATTGAGGCAAGATCTCTTGCTAACCTGGAGCTTTCCAGATACAGCTAGCAGCAACCAGCTTGCTCTGGATCCTGTCTCTGCCGCAAGAGTGCTGGGATTACTGGTGGCCATGGTTGTACAGGTGGCCTGGCTTGTACATGGGATCTGGTGACCTGGGCTTTGATCATTACATTTTATCCACTGAGCTATTTCCCGAGTCCCAGCATCTCTTACCTGAGATCGCTATGCTTTCTTCCTTAAAGTTTCTTTTTTTTTTTTTGGAAATTATTTTTTTTAAAGATTTATTTATTTTATGTATATGAATGTTCTATTTGCATTCACACCTACCAGAAGAGGGAATCAGTTCACATTATGGATGGTTGTGAGCTACCATGTGGTTGCTGGGAATTGAACTCATGACCTTTGGAAGAGCAGACAGTGCTCTTAACCACTGAGCCATCTCTCCAGCCCTTCCTTAAAGTTTCAAGAGAGAGACAGTGTGGCCATTGAGGACTCTGTATATTAGACTGTTCTGGATATCCCTTTTGTTCCGTAGTGCTTCCATCCCTCTTAGGAGTTGGCATAGCTGTCAAAAGTCAGAGGTTTTTGGCTCAAAACAAAATTAAATCTCAACTCTGCCTCCTTTCATTTGAGAGACCTTGTATAAATCTCTCTACAACCTCTGATTTTTATTTCTATTTTTAAAATTGTGGAAGGAATTTTATAATTCCTCATAGGGTTATAGCCTTATAGGGTTATAGCACCAAGCCTCAGGGTTGACCCATAGTATATGCCTGTTCTTGTCATTTTCTGGGTCTGTTGGCCACATCATTACACCCACCTCCTCACTAATCCTTCCTTCTCAGAATGGCTGGCTTTGATGGCTCAGCTTGGGATGAGGAGGAAGAAGAGCCACCTGACCATCAGTACTACAACGACTTTCCGGGAAAGGAACCTCCTCTTGGTGGGGTGGTAGACATGAGGCTTCGGGAAGAGGCTGCTCGACCCACTCTCCCTGGTGCCCAGATGTCCAGCCATTTGGGAGCTACACTGGTAAGCTGCCAGGATGGCGATACTCTTAAGTCTAGGGTGGGCGTGGTTGGCCTGGGTCTCAGGAGATTTCTTCCTTCTTGCAGCCTATAGGACAGCATACTACAGGAGACCATGAAGTCCGTAAGCAGATGCTGCCTCCACCACCCTGCCCAGGTGTGAACAGTTTGCTGAAAGGGATAGGCATGAGTACAGAAGGCAGGGCCAGGATTGATGTAGTCCGTCTTTCTTTAATAGGCAGAGAACTCTTCGATGACCCCTCTTATGTCAACATCCAGAATCTAGACAAGGCCCGGCAAGCTGGGGTTGGGACAGGGCCACCAAATCCTTCTGTTAATGGCAGTGCACCCCGAGACCTCTTTGACATGAGTGAGTTTCTTGTAGCTCCACCTTCCTTTGTTCCTTCTTTTCTGCCTATTCACTCTCACCTGGTTTCCCACACTGAGTCTGGGTCTTGGGTGTATGTTGGACCAGTTCTCTTAGTCATGCCTCTATATCCCTAGAGCCCTTTGAAGATGCGCTTCGGGCACCTGCACCTCCCCAGTCCATGTCTATGGCTGAGCAGCTCAAAGGGGAGTCCTGGTTCCATGGGAAGCTGAGCCGGAGGGAGGCTGAAGCGCTGCTGCAGCTCAACGGGGACTTCTTGGTGCGGGAGAGCACAACCACACCTGGCCAGTACGTGCTCACTGGCCTGCAGAGCGGGCAGCCCAAGCACCTGCTTCTGGTGGACCCCGAAGGTGTGGTGAGTATGGCAGAGGTATAGGAAGGGGTGGCAGGAAAAGTACCTTTCCTCTTCTTACTGCTTTCTAGATTTTATTCACTAGAGGCTTTCTAGAGGCCTCCTTTGTTCTTTAGATACTTGTATCTAAGCCAGCATTTGGCTTAAGGTTCCTTCCTGCTATCCCTGAGTCTGAGCTGTGTTCTTTTCAGTTCTGACCAGTCCTCAAATCCCAGACCTTAAGTCTACCAGCACTAAAGAGTGCTTATCTGATCTGTGCCCCTGTTGCTAAGTGAAGAAATGACCCCGGAAAGGTAGTGATGTGCAATGTTAGGTGGTTGGGGGCTAGAGACCCCAAATTTCCTCTTCCAAGAGGAATCAGGAGTCTCCCTAGCTTCTTAAGTATAAACTCGTGTCCTTTTTTCTTTTTTAAAATCTAACCTGCCTTGCTATTCTGTACAACCTTGGTTTCTTTTCTTTTTTTCTTCCTTTTGTTGTTTTGTATTTTTCAAGACAAGGTTTCTCTGTATAGCCCTGGCTGTCTTAGAACTCCTTTTGTGTACACCAGGCTGCCCTTGAACTCAGAGATCCACCTGCCTCTCACTCCCAAGTGCTGGGAGTTAAGGCGTGCACCACTACCACCCTGCTTGGTTTCTTTTCTTTTCCTCCTCTTCTTTTTTGTTTTTCGAGACAGGGTTTATCTGTGTAGCCTTGGCTGACCTGGACTCAAGATTTGCAGACCAGGCTGGCCTCTGCCTCCTTAAGTGCTGGGATTAAAGGCATGTGCCACTACCCCCTGGCTGTTTTTTTTTTTGTTTGTTTGTTTTCTTCTTAACCTTTTTTTCATGTTTTTATATTGTATATTCTCCTTTGAGACATACCAGCTTTCAAGTCAGAAGTTTGTTTGTTTTTTTTTAATTTTTTTATTTATTATTAATTATTTATTACAATTTATTCACTTTGTATCTGGGCTGTAGCCCCTCCCTTGTCTCCTCCCAGTACCACTCTCCCAAGTCAGATGTTTTACTGGTGTCAGCTTCCATGGTTTCTAGTTCATATTTCCTTCATCTTCTCTCAGTTCACTGACATACCCTTTCCCACCCGTATGACTGTTTTCTCTGTGAAGAAGCTGAGATAATCATGGCTGACCTGCCCCCATCTTCCTCAGTCTTGGGGCTAAGGTCTTACTGAAGCCTTAAGTTGAACTGTGACCCTCTTATTTCCCACCTTCCCAGGTTCGGACAAAGGATCACCGCTTTGAGAGTGTCAGTCACCTCATCAGTTACCACATGGACAATCACCTGCCCATCATCTCTGCGGGCAGCGAACTGTGTCTACAGCAACCTGTGGATCGGAAAGTGTGATCTTCCTTAGCCCTTCCTAGAGGGTGCTCCCCACTCCCCCCAACCGTGTTCTCCAACTCATGAAACCTCTGTTCTGTGGGTCTGGCCTTGGGTGGGAGCTGGGAGCAGTGTGGATACAGGGTTTAGTGTCCACCTGAGAGAGAGGGTTTTAGTTAGGAGCCTGGGGTAGCATCCTGATTCTGCCCAAACCTCACCAAAGTATTAATGTACAGAGTGGTCCCTTGCCTGGGCCTTGCCTGTGCCAACCTGATGCCCTTCCCCCAAAGGGTGGGCTTTTATAATGGAAAATGCCCTGTGGTGATGGGCCCATTGGAGCAATTGCCCTTCGGGGGAAGGGAATAATCATACCTCTGGTTTACCCCTGGTCCCTCTTAATACATCCTACTCCCTATGCACCCCTTAAAACTTTGTGCCTTTGACTATTGTAGGTCTGCAGATACTTTATGCAAAGAGCTCTCAGGCCCTTCAGTTGGGATGGGTTGCTGACACCGTGGCTTCTTGAGCCCTGTCCTGCACCCTCTCCTGTGTTTAGGGACAACAGGGGCAGGAGTGGCAGCTATCTCCTCTGTCTTTTGGATGTGTAGCCCTTGCCTTTAATCACAGCACTCAGGAAGCAGAGGCAGGAGGATTTTTGAGGCCAGCCTGGTCTACAACAGAGTGAATTCCAGGACAATCAGGGCTACATAGAGAGGCCTTTCTCCAAAAACCAAAAAGAGAGCTTGCCCTAGAGCCTCCCTCTTGGTGGTGGAGAGTGGAATGACAGGATTGGACCCCTGCCTTGCTCACTGCCTCCTAGCTTCAATCCCTTTCCCCCAAGGCATCTGTATACATTTCTTAAGCCTGCCCCTCTCATATCTGCATGTGTGTTATAGTCTACAGCCAAAGTACAGCCCTTCTGACTACAACCCCAGCCGGCCTCCCTCCTTTGGGATGGGTGTGTGTGCAGTCAGCCTTCAGGTGGGTTTTGTGGAGGCTCTGAGCCTGAAGCAGTAGACAATCCCCAGTACCATGTGTAGATCTGGAACTGCACTCTCTCTTTTCTAAACTTGCATATATTTTAGGGCTATAGATTTCTTTTCTTGGTTTTGTTTTCATTGCTTACTTTTGAGCACAAAATTCTGATAATTGAATAATCGATTACATTTATACATCACCTCATTGAGTTTTCCAAACCTTTTTTTTTTTTTTACAACTGTTGGGATTTTACTCCCTGGCCTAAAAGTAACTAGGACAAGATTCTTTTTTCCTTCTTCCACAAGAGACCTGAGCAGAAGTTTGAACAGTGTTGTGGAGTCATGATGTGAAAGCTTACTTTAGATCCTACCCTCCGCTTGCAGGCCTGTGAGACCTGCTGTGACAGAAACCGTGCAAGCTCATTCTGTGGACCTTGTGGACAGGGGTCAACTGGTTTTTAATCTCGCCTCGCCAATTTTTGGTTTGGATATCTTATACCAAAGGGAAATAGCCTTCATTAAAATTCCTATTTCTTCTACCTCGGCTTCTCAACACCTCTGGAAAGTCTGATTGATGAGGCCCCATCAGTGGGAGGTGGCGGGGAAACTCACCGGGAAGCTGGAGTGGGCTCAAAGCCAGCGCTGCTTATCTACGGGGGTCTGTGGGGATTTGGGAAGCAGGGAGGCTGCGCGGTATGGATGTATCTTCAAGGCTACTGGCTATCAGTGGGAAGGGGCGTGTCTGGACCGCCCCCAGGCCCACGGGAGGGCTTGCGACCCATGAGTGGAGAGTCCCACACAGCCACGGGGCCAGCTGGGGCAACGGAGGAGTGGCCTAGCCAGGCCCAGCCTTCCTGGATGCGGCATCTGAGCCCTCCCCAGCTTTCCCTCTCCACCGCGCTAGGTGGTGGCGACCCGTTGGAGTTCCGGTTCCGGTTGCTGTGGCCGCGGGCGGGCCGTGCGTCTGGAGCAGGCGTGCAGTTGGTGCTCTGTGCTGTCCCCCTCAGCGTGACTAGCGCTGGCTGCAGCTCGGGGCTGGGGGCCAGCGGCGCCCCAGACTCCCCTCTGGGCGATGGTGCGGCCTGAGGACGCCTCCATCCCCCGCCGACGCTGACTCTGGTCCCCCAATCCATGGCCGCCTCGGCGCCGCCCCCACCGGACAAGCTGGAGGGAGGCAGCGGCCCCGCACCGCCCCCCGCGCCGCCCAGCACCGGGAGGAAACAGGGCAAGGCCGGTGAGAGCGCAGAGAGGGGCGGGAGCTGTGGAGGCCCAGGACCCTGGAACCTTGGGTGGAAGGGTTGGGGGATGGGAGAGGTTGCCAAGGAGCCTGGAGGTAGCCTCAGGAAAGAAGGTTTTGTGGTTGGGGACAGGTGTCACAGGTTACTTCAGGCGTTGGAGTGACACAGATTTCAGAAAACATGGAGTCTGGTAGTTTCGAGAGATGGGTTATCTTTGATTTCAAGGAAGCTGCAGCTGAGAGTGTAGTCATACTAGTCATTTTTTGTATTTCACCCCTGTTTCTTAAATAAGTAAGCAAGTGTACGTGGTAGAGTCTGGAGAGTGGCTGGGAGGAAGGAGACTATAGAAACCTCAGGAAAACTTGCCTCCGTCTGCCCATTACTGCTCTTCCAGGTCTGCAAATGAAGAGCCCTGAAAAGAAGCGCAGAAAGTCCAACACTCAGGTAAGCAGGGATATGTGGTGGGAGTATTTCCGGGAAGCCCTCCTACCTTACCTAGCTGTCTTCCCGTGCCCCTTCTGTGCAGGAAAAAGACTAAGTGGAAATACCCTTCTCTTTCCTATCCTAGTTCTGTCTTGATGACAGCATTTAGCTCGGGCTTGCCTTTTTTTTTCCCCTTCCTTTTTGAGACAAGGTCTCATGCATCCCGGACTAGCTTCAGATTTGCTGTGTAGCTAAGGATGACTGTGAATCTATGATCCTCCTGCTTTCACCTTCCAAAGTTGTGGGGTTACAGCTGTGCACTGCCATACTGGCTTTCTGTAGTGCTGGGTGCCCTCAGGATAAGTGCTGGCTGTCCGTGAAGACCAAAAGAAAGGGTCAAGTTCCCTAGAACTGGAGGTGCAAACATCTGTGAGCCGCCTCGTGGGTGCTGGGAACAGAACCCAGGGCTTCTGCGAGAGCAGCAAGTGCTCACAAAGCTGTGAGCCATTTCTCCAACCTGTATTTCTACTTTTTCTGAGAAAAGGTGCCCAGCCTGGCTGTGATGTCTTGGATTGCCTGTCTCAATCTCCCAAGTACAGGCATTACTGGAATGCATCACCAAGCCCAGCTTACTGAGTCTTTTCTAGGGGTCATAGTAATGCTGCAATGCTTTAACAGTTGTTTCTGATGTAAAAATTGAGAAAATAAGAGGCTTTTAAAAAGTTGAATATTGGGGCCGATGCCTTTAATCCCAGCACATGAGGCAAAAGGGGCAAGCAGATCTCAAGTTTTCAAGGCCAGGCTGGTCTACAGAGGGAGTTCTAGGACAGCCAGGGCCACACAGAGAAACCCTGTCTCAAAAAGTCATAAATAATAAATACAGTACTGGGTGCTAGCCTGGCTAGCATGCACAAAGGCCTGTGTTCTCACCCTAGCACTGCATAAACCAGGTAGGTGCAGTGGTTCATATCTGCCCTAGTATTCCAGAGGCTGAGACAGGAGGACAAGGAGAGGGAGAAGTTTTCAAGGTTATCCCCAGTTACAACTGAGCTTGAGTGAGCCTGAGTTATATAAGACACCATCTTAAAAAAATATATCTGCTTTGAGGCCAAACCTGGATTTTGGTGTGATTTTTGTCTGTATTCCCTTTTACTATGTTTAATTACATGTATGTAAGAGTACAAGTGCTGAAAAAAGCCAGAAGTGTGATCCCTCTGGAGCTGGAGGTATAGGCGTTGAGCCCTCCAACATGGTTTCTGGGAATAAAACTCATTCTCTTGCCCACTGAGCTATCTCAGTGGCTAAACCACCTCTAGCCTTATCTACTTGGCTTTTGTTGTGTTGTTTTTTTACAAACAGTGTTGTTGCACTGTATGCTCTGCCTTCTACCCTCTGAGGTCAGTTACAATTTTGCGTCCGAGTTGCACCAGCCTCCAAAGAGTACATTATGTTTGTGGTGCTCTCCTGGTTTGGCTCTATGTCTTTTATTGTCTCCCTTCTGTTTTCACCAGGGTCCTGCATACTCTCATCTGACAGAGTTTGCACCACCCCCAACTCCTATGGTGGATCATCTGGTTGCTTCCAACCCTTTTGAGGATGACTTCGGAGCCCCTAAGGTGGGGGGTACAGGCCCTCCATTCCTTGGCAGTCCTGTGCCCTTTGGAGGCTTTCGTGTACAGGGGGGCATGGCAGGCCAGGTACCCCCAGGCTATGGCACTGGAGGAGGAGGGGGTCCCCAGCCACTTCGACGACAGCCCCCTCCTTTTCCTCCCAACCCTATGGGTCCAGCTTTCAGTATGCCTCCTCAGGGTCCTGGTTATCCACCCCCAGGCAACATGAACTTTCCCAGTCAACCCTTCAACCAGTCTCTGGGCCAAAACTTTAGCCCACCTGGTGGGCAGATGATGCCAGGCCCAGTGGGGGGATTTGGTCCCATGATCTCACCCACCATGGGACAACCTCCTAGAGGGGAGCTGGGTCCTCCTCCTCTCCCCCAACGCTTTGCCCAACCAGGAGCACCTTTTGGACCTCCTCTTCAGAGACCTGGCCAGGGACTCCCCAGCCTGCCTCCCAACACAAGTCCCTTCCCTGGTCCAGACTCTGGCTTTCCTGGCCCTGGTGGTGAGGATGGCGGAAAGCCCTTAAATCCACCTGCCCCCACTGCCTTTCCCCAGGAGCCCCACTCAGGCTCCCCGGCTGCTGCTGTTAATGGGAATCAGCCTAGTTTTCCCCCCAGCAGCAGTGGGCGAGGTGGGGGCACTCCAGATGCCAACAGTTTAGCACCCCCTGGCAAGGCCGGAAGCGGCGCAGGGCCCCAGCCTCCCCCCGGCCTGGTATACCCTTGTGGTGCCTGTCGGAGTGAGGTGAATGATGACCAGGATGCCATTTTGTGTGAGGCCTCATGCCAGAAGTGGTTTCACCGTGAGTGCACCGGCATGACAGAGAGTGCCTATGGCCTGCTAACCACTGAGGCCTCTGCGGTCTGGGCCTGTGATCTCTGCCTCAAGACCAAGGAGATCCAATCTGTCTACATCCGAGAGGGCATGGGGCAGTTGGTGGCTGCTAACGATGGGTGACTCCAATGGCCTGGGGAAGTGCGCATTTCCCACCATGCTCTTGCAGAGTGATCATGTAGCTCTCGCTCCTTGTTTTCCACTGGCATCCCATCCCCCTGGAGCAGAAACTTGGTTCCTGGAAGCAGAGAAGGAACTGAGGCGGGCAGGCAGAAGAGCCTGGGTTGCTTGCTTTATTTCTGGGAACTTGTACACTGAGACCTTCATAGATCCAGGAATCTAAAGCCCCCTGAGCAGAGCCAGCTCTGGAGTCTTAACGAGGCTGCAAGAGAAAAGGGGCTGGAGGAAGTTTCGAGGCCAAGGAGTTCCTGTGGACAGATGACAGATGACCCTAACACCTGTGCCTACCATACCTGTGCAGCCCCACAGCTTCAGCTCTAGCTCTTGGAGTCACGAGGTTTCTTCATTCCCTGAGATACAGCCCCTTTTATGGGTTCTGGAAACAAATGGGGATTTCTCTTTTTCTGTTTTTCCCTTTGCTTCCCCTGGACCTACCGTACTCCTTTCCCCTCAGAGCACCAAATACCGTGAAGAAGCAGGAGAGGTCCTGACTGGGGCAGGTGTGTACCTGGGGCTTCTAAAGACTGTAAAGAGAGGCTGAGAAGACGTCTATACCAAAGTCATGGGTCCACCTCAGCTTCTCTTGTGCTTTTCACTCAGTGACCGTGTTTTTGCCAAAAATTGGGATATATGGTCTATCTGACAATATTTAACAAAGTTTGGGGTCCCCTTGAAGTGTGGACGGGAGGTATAGCCCCCTTTCTCCCCACCCATCTTGTATACGTTCTTCAACTCTCTGTGCCCTCATTTCCTCTGTCTTGGGAAAGTTTGGAAGCATGAAGCCCTTTCACCTCATTCCTTCCCCCATCCAAGTGAAGCCCTGTCATGGCTTTGGAGGAGGTGGGAGTGGGCAGCAGGATCCTCAAAGCCATGGGACTAAAGCTAAGAGAACCTGAAGTTTTCTGCTTGCTATTTTTTACCCTATGATGTTGTGTTGGGCCTGGTGATGCAGCACCTAGGTTTGGTTTATTTTTATTTTTGTAGCACTCTGCCAGTGATGGGATTGAGGCTGACCAGGAGGCCCCCAGCTGCTCTTACCTCTTTCCAGCTAGCCCATATTCCCATTCCTCAACTGGGTGGGGAAGAAAAGCTTGGGTGTAGCCCTCTTGAGAGAGCTTGAGGTACCCAGTACTAGGCATGTTGCCGAAGGCTGCCCTCTGTAATGTCCTACCACTCATGATCCCTGCACATGGAAAAGAGAAGACACTCTGAGGTGACAGCCTTTGAAGCTGAGGAAGACAAGAGTGAGCCTGCCTCTTCCTCTGTTCCTCCCCCCACGCCTAAACTACATGAGCAGCCTCTGCTTAATTTTGTGTTGTGCTGTGGTTCTGTTTGCCCCTATTACCTGTTGCTACTTTTGTGTTGTCTCCATGGTTTGTAAAATGCTCCCAGGGAGGGTTCCTCCCCTTGTTCCTCTCTGTGACTTTTTGGAAGAAAGTGGGTTGGCAGAGACATGGTTTCAGGATCTTTTTGTATGGTTGGATTAATAAAATGACTTGAAAATCCAAACAAGGACTCCTTTGTTAATCTGCAAGGATGCTGGGATAAGCCCAGGTCACAGCTAGGAGGATGCCTAGAGGGCAAGGCTGTCCCTGCTCCACATTGTGTCCTTGGTGTGGGAACCATTGCACTTCTTGGGCTGTTAGCCAGATAGAGCTGGAGTCAGGGCCTCTGACATCAGTGCTTGAGCTCAGACTTAAGCCTGTGTCCCTACCTTTCAGCAACTACCCTTAGCGGATTTATTTCAAAAATTTATTTTGGGGTGCCCATGGAGATAGGTGAAGATACTTTTGGCTAAATCTGAGAACTTGGGTTCAATCCCCTGAACCCATGTAGTAGGAGAGAACTGATTTGGCAGCTTGTCCCCTGACAGCAATGTGTGCTATGGCATGTGAGCTTCCTGCTGGGGGGATGGCTCAGCAGTTCAGAGTACTTGCTGTTCTTAGGACCTAGGTTCAATTCCCAGCAGCACATGGCAGTTCACAACCATGTGACTAGTTCCAGGGGATTCACTATCTATAGACACACTGGAAAACACTCATACACATAAAATTTTAAAAACATTTCAGATGCTTAATTTTCCATGCATATTACAATGCTCCACTATAGAGTAATATCCAGCCCTAAATTTAATTTGTGGATGCTTTACTGCCTCTTTTTGTTTGTTTAGTTTCGGATTTGTTCAGTGTCCATTTGTGGCACAGGCAGGTCTTACCAGAAGGTGCTAGATAGTTGGCATCTGGAGTGCTCCCACCTCGATCGCTGCTGCTGGGAGGAAATTTAGGCTGATTCCCATAAACAGCCGCAGGGGTAAGGAAGTGGGGCCAGGTGGATTCAAGGGCTTTCCGCTGTCCTCACCACCAGGGCCAGGAAAGCCAGGATCTGGACCAGGGAAGGGACATGTCCTGGGATTATAGCC